GGGCGTTGGAGGAATGGAGGCAGTGGCTTCTGGGCACCACTCAGCCGTTCACCATCTGGACTGACCACCAGAACCTAACCCACATACGGTCCGCCAAGCAGTTAAATCCTCGCCAGGCACGCTGGGCCCTCTTCTTCGAACCCTACGAGTTCCATCTCGCTTATCGCCCCGGGACAAAGAACCAGAAGGCGGACGCCCTCTCCCGCCAGTTCACCCATTCAGCGCCCACGTCCGAGCCGGCGCCCATCCTCCCGGAGCACCGTTTTGTGGCCCACCTTGGGTGGCCGTTGGAGGAGGCCATCCAAAACGCCCTCCAGGGTGACCCAGCGCCACCAGAGACCCCCGCCGGTCGGCTCTACGTCCCCTCGGCCTGTCGCAGTGAAGCGTTGTCCTGGGCCCACTCATCACGCCTGTCTGGTCACGCAGGCTTCTCTCGGACTCTCAGGTTCCTTAAACGGGCTCTCTGGTGGCCACGTATGGAGAGGGATGTTAAGGAATACACGAGCGCTTGTGACGTCTGCGCCCGCTCTAAGGCATCCACCCAGGCTCCGGTTGGCACCCTCAGACCTCTTCCGGTGCCCAGCCGCCCCTGGTCCCATGTGGGGCTGGACTTTGTCACGGGTCTCCCGCCGGTCAACGACCTCGACACCATCCTGACGGTCACTGACCGGTTTTCCAAGGCTGTTCACTTCATCGCCCTCCCGGGCCTCCCCTCGGCCCGACGCACTGCAGAACTGTTTCTGGAGAACGTGGTGCGCCTCCACGGGTTCCCGGTAGACGTGGTCTTGGATCGTGGTCCCCAGTTCACGGCCCGTTTCTGGAAAGCCTTCTGCCATCTAGTGGGAGCCTCTGTCAGCCTGTCTTCGGGCTACCACCCACAGACCAATGGTCAAACGGAGCGGGCAAACCAACAGTTGGGCAGGTACCTCCGCTGCTTTGTTTCGGCGCAGCCCTCGCAGTGGCCTAAGTACCTCCTCTGGGCGGAGCTGTCTCATAATCTCCACACCTCCTCGGCCACTCGGATGTCCCCTTTCGAGGTCTGCTATGGCTATCAGCCCCCGGTCTTTGCCCACCAGGAACCCGAAGTCGCGGTGCCGGCCGCTCAATCCCTGGTGAGGCGCTGCAAAAATGCATGGATCAAGGCGCGGGCCTCAATCACCCGGGCCAACGCCCGTTACTCCCACCAACACCTCCGCAGGCACCGCCCGGGCCCCTCCTATGCTCCAGGGGACAGGGTCTGGGTGTCCACGGCAGGCCTCCGGGTCCGCGCCGGTTCCAGGAAGCTCGCTCCCCGGTTCCTCGGACCCTACCCCGTGCAGAAGGTAATCAACCCGGACACGTACCGGCTGCGGCTGCCTACAAGCCTTCGCGTCCATCCCACCTTCCACACCTCCCGGCTCAAACCTTATGTGGAATCCTCACTCCTTCCGCCTCGTGCTCCGGCGCCTCCGCCGGCCCGCTTCCTTGACGGTGAGCCCATCTACACCGTCCGGCGCATTCTGGACGCTCGCCGCCGGGGTCGGGGTTGGCAGTACCTTGTGGATTGGGCGGACTACGGCCCAGAGGAACACTCCTGGGAGCCGGCCCGCTCCATCTTGGACCCTGCCCTCATCTCGGACTTCTGGGCCCACCGAGGTGGCCCGGGGACTTCTGGAGCCGTCCCTGGACCGGGGGGTCCTGTCAGAGTCCAAGCCCCCAGGCCGGGCTCTCCCAGCTGACCGGCTTCTGTCTCGGACCATTACCCAGCATGCCCCTCGCGGGGATTCCCTCCACGCTGCACCTGCGTCATCCATGTCTATATATGGAAGACGCCACACCGGCTCTTCACTCAGTCATCGTTCCACCGTGTTCCATGATCAGAGTATTCAGAAACTAAGACAGTTAAACCTCCACCTTTCTAACTCAGACCTCATCCTTCCGTCAGCCTTTTCAGCACCGCTTGCAGCCAGCAGTCTCTAATAAAAGCTCTTACTCCCGAACCCAGTCTTCGAGTCTGACAGTTAATCACATTTTTAGTTAACTGGTGTTTATTTTAAAAATTAGTTGATCGTTGTTTTGGGCTAAAGGCGTTTATAGAATCTTGTGAAATTTGCCTACTGTTAAAGAGCTCCAATCTGGCTCAGAGGCTGACCTTTACGGAGTAATCAATCTTGTTAGTCAGAGCTGTTGTAGCTTACAGTAACGTAACCTCAGACATTCACCACCTTGGATTTTGAAACGCTGACACACTTTAACCTATGCTGCATAGCAACAAAATGCTTTCAGATGCACAAATTTACAAATAACTACAGATAAATTTATATTCTCTTTTTGTTGACATTACAGGAAATCAACCCTTTTCATCTGTTTGGGACTTTTTCAGACACGACTATGTTCTGGAAATAATCTCGGTGATACCTGACACTTATGCAGAGATTTCCAAAATAGAAGTTTTAGGGCTCACATGCTTTGGTATTCATGACCCCGGCCTTTTAGCGTTTCTGAAATGTGCATTGTAGTCATACCTTGTCTCAGTGTTTTATGAGGCAGATTTATAACCTGCAGCTTAAACTTCTGCCTAACAGATGTCTGCATGAATTTAAAAAAGTCTCATTGTGTGTGAGAGGCCATGACATGGCAGAAAAAAACATCTAAAATATTATTAAATCAATTAAAAAACAGTCTGAAAAATATATGAAAGAGCTAGGAAATCTCACCACCTAAGAACAGCTCCATTAGTTGATTTAGAAAGCCTGTCTCATTAGTTCACTTGAGGAACACATTCTGAGTTGATGACATTTTACGATGTATTGTGTCAACAAGCTTTTACTGACAAACAGTAAAAATACCTGTGTTGTGGTACATGGTATTGTTTGCTGTTTCCCCTCAAAAGACTGAAAGAGAAGTAAAAACAAGTATCTACAAATGTCTGCGCAATAACAAAACGAGTCATGAAGACATTGTAAGGATCAGGGGCCTCATTTATCAAGCTTGCTTACGCACAAAACGGGGTTGGAAAACTGCGTAAGCAACTTTCCATGCAAACTTTGGGATTCATAAAAGAAAACTTAGCGGAAAAATGTGCGCAACTTTAAGTTGACCGAGGGCCTGGCTTACGCACATTTTGGACATGGAGAGCACCTGCAGTGCTGCTGCTGAGAAGGATACAAATATGAATTCTAGCAGCGTTATCACTTGTACTGCTTCATGCGCACACAGAACAAACACATACCTGATGAATTAGCAGAGAACACTCCATTACAGAAAGGCAGAACTCTTCCCACTACTGGTCAGTCTTTATAGAAGTAGAATATTTACCAGTGCTGCTTATACACTTAGTTTCCTCTCAAAAGTAAGTCATATCATCATAAAGCAACAAGAGATAGTGACAGGTGACTGATTTTTAAGAAACTGCATGCACGTCCATGAGTTGGTTTGGAGTAGGGGGTGAATCTGTGTTAAGCTGTCTAGACACAATTAGACATATTCATCTAGACACTATCTGAACTCATTGTGACTTTTGCTACCTACGGCTGTCTGATTTGACGCAGTAGACGCTGAGGAGGCATCAGACAGAGACACACAAACAGGCTCTGTCACACTGCCTCAGACAGTAAGGGAGAGTGACGAGGAGTCGGATAAAGGACAGAGAAGCTCAGACAGATGTAGTAAATCATTGCATTAGAAAGCGAACCTTGTTATGTTAGGCAGATTTGGTTGCATTCATGCTGAAAAGAAGACTACTTGGGAATGTAGGATCAGAAAGCATGGTTTAACATGCCAGCAGAAATGTGTGTATATGATTAGTGTGAGTTAGTCATTATTAGAGGAATAAGTTCATAACGGTAGGTCATATCTGCATGGCCTTTTCTAAGGCATAGTGGAGCAATAAGGAACTGACTTTGGTACCACTAATGAATATCTTAGGTTATAGAGTAGAGAAGGGATTGCCTTCTGCACTAACATTCCCAGTAAAGGACACCAAGACAGTGTACAGAGCAAGAGAACATATACATAAATACTGGCTGAGTAGTATAAGCATAAGCTGCAAACATGAGGACAATAAACATGGAGCAAAAAGAGACAAAAGATTACATTACATGAAGGGAATTCAGCATGTTTGCTGCTGGGGAATGCCTCTCTGGGATTTGAGTAAAGCCAAAAGCTCAGCGTCAATGAAATCGATCAGTGGAAAGTCGATGTTATGATGACTGCTATTTATAGCCAGGTCTGTCTGTGACATGGCAGTGACTGCTTTTGGATTCTCTCCCAGATGTGAAGTCAGACTCATCGTGTTTCAGACTTAGCTATAATTTCCTTTCATTCATTTGCCTGTACTTAATTAACATTGCAGGTGTGTACTCTACGCAAGTAAAAGACCACAACTGAGAATTATTTTGATTATTTGTATGCATATGATGAAAAACCACATTTGTTCTCAGAAACTTATAAGATTTTCTCCTAGATGAAATACTTTGTAAATATGATATGTCACATCATAAGGTTAATTTAAGAAATATGTTGGTAGAAAATGATAAAGTATGGGTATTTTTGCATGAGAACACTAACGGTTCTAGAAATCTGGGACCGTTTGATTTGGTTTTGATCACAACTTAATTAACTAGTATTAAACATTTTTCTTTTAACTTGAGAAAAAATGCAAGTTCCCTGTTCTAATAACAAGAAATCTCGCACTAGCATTTACCGTGATTAACAGACTGATTCCCATTTCCATTCTCTGAATTCCTGATGCCTTAGTTTCTGCAGCATCCATTCTGTGCAACATAAGACGTGGCAAATGCAGCAGATGCATATTTATAAAGCTATAGCTAGGGTGTTGCCTTGGCATTACTGCAATTTTATGTTACTAGTGCCGTCTACAGGCAGTAGTGGTCATTGCTGGAGTTGTGCAAGTTAGGCATTTGATTTGTTGACTGTACCAACAGAACAGCGTAGCATCAATCTGATGAAAACTATAACTACATTAATTTTCATCTCATCATCACATCATTTATCCTCAGGACCGAAAGCTGACCAAAGCAGAGCAGCAGCGCTTCAAAGAAGAGGCTGAGATGTTAAAAGGACTTCAGCACCCCAACATAGTTCGCTTCTATGATTCATGGGAGTCTGCGCTGCGTGGAAAGAAGTGCATTGTACTGGTCACAGAGCTTATGACATCAGGAACACTCAAAACGTCAGTATAGAATTTATAATTATCACTTCTTCTCAGTGGCAATTTTCTTATTTTAGGTTGTAAAAACTTTCTTTAAAAATGCTTGAAGCTCTGTAGTACAAGTTGTCTTAGAGGCTTGCTCATTTTCTGTAAGACACGTGCCACTTTCTCACCCTTGTCAGAGTGAGAGGAGGAATACATTTTAGTCAGATCACCAGTCCAACATGGAGCTTTGTGACACACTCAGCCATACTTGGTAAACGTAGGACCCAGTAGGACAATACATTAACTGTAAGGAGTACTGGTATTGATTTGTCTCTTGATTACAGTATTTCTTTTGAGTGACTGCCTTTGTGCTCTCTGAACAGCTACCTGAAGCGTTTTAAGGTGATGAAACCCAAAGTTCTAAGGAGCTGGTGCAGGCAAATTCTGAAGGGCCTTCACTTCCTTCACACCAGGACTCCACCGATTGTCCACCGGGATCTTAAGTGTGACAACATCTTCATAACAGGTCCCACAGGATCAGTCAAGATAGGTGACCTGGGTCTAGCCACTCTTATGAGGACCTCATTTGCCAAAAGTGTCATTGGTAGGACAATTGTGTCATTAAGTGTAATGAAGTAGCACTAACAATTTAGGTTGTTTATACTATTTTCTTGTCTAATTAGGAACCCCAGAGTTCATGGCTCCAGAGATGTATGAGGAGCACTATGACGAGTCAGTGGATGTGTATGCCTTTGGGATGTGTATGCTAGAGATGGCTACTTCCGAGTACCCGTACTCTGAATGCCAAAATGCTGCTCAGATCTATCGCAAAGTCACAAGTGTGAGTGCTTCTGACCAAACTATTGTAATGATTTACAATCCTTCCTTCAATCAAATAGCTCAAGATCTAGTTTTATAAAAACTATTGTTTCCTTTTCTTTTTTTTTCTTTTTTTTTTTTTGACAGGGTATAAAACCAGCCAGCTTTGATAAAGTGAATGATCCAGAAATCAAGGAGATCATTGAAGGTTGTATTCGTCAAAACAAAAGCCAGAGGTGGGAATAACTGTTCGGTTCCACAACATGGCTTTTTGCATGTATTTCATGCAAATTCACTGATTGTATGGCTATTAAACATCTTTATCTTTCTATAGACTCTCCATCAGAGACCTTCTAAACCATGCATTCTTTGGAGAAGACACGGGGGTTCGAGTGGAGCTAGCAGAGGAGGACACAGGCACGCAGGACTGTCTGGCTCTTCGGATATGGGTTGAAGACCCTAAGAAGCTAAAGGGGAAGCACAAAGACAATGAGGCCATTGAGTTCAGTTATGACCTGGAGAATGATAGTGCTGAAGAAGTAGCTTTAGAAATGGTAGGAAATAAGAATAATCTGACATGGTGATCTTCACTAGGCTTTGATGTTAAAAGTTCATTTAGTGGACATTTCTGTATACTCTTGACCCAGAAAACCATTTTTCTGCCTATTATTCATTTGCTCTCACTCCCCTATTTTATCAAAGGTGAAGTCAGGCTTCTTCCATGAGAGTGATGCCAAGGTGGTGGGAAAATCCATCCGGGATCGTGTGAATCTGATCAGAAAGTCCAGAGAGCGTAGACAGCAGCAACTTCTTCAGCAAGGCTTCGAAGAACGAAGAGACTCCACTCTCACCTCCTACCCCTTTTCTAATCCCTCTTGCCCCTCCTCACTGCTGCTAGGGGCAGGTGGACATACAGGAGGGAGAGAAACAGGAGCGGTTCAGGAATCTGAGGAGCTGCCTGAAGTAGACCAGCATGTCAGACAGCAACATATTTTTAGTGCAGTGACCCTGAATTTGCCAGGTAGAGTTTTTCCAAAGTGTTTAAAACATCTGATGTGGAGGAAATTTTGATTAGCAAATTGGAAAAAAAAACGTGTATTTTATGTACACTGACTTGTTTTTACCCAGAAGGTGAAAGCATTGGATCTGCCAGCTGTGAATCTTATGCAAGTGGACAAAGTCAGGCTTACTCTCAGCAAGGGGGGTCACACTCCCAGATTACTCTCCCTGCCATGGCATCTGTAAGTCTATGCTTTGTTGTATTGATGAATGATAGAAATTTGCTGAGTGTATTACGATTTCATTTTCTTCTTGTGGTGCAGAGCACAGTCGCAATGGCAAACCCACACATGCTCAGCTCTGGTGAGAGCGGATGTGATCTAAATGCGCCTCTTGATCAGAGCATTAGCATGTCCAGCATGCAAGGTGAAGGGGGACCTGTAGCTCAGAAATTTCTTCAACCCACCACCATGGTTCCACAGGTATCGCCAAGTGTACCCCAGCATCATCTTCAGGTGAAAATGGGGGTCATACATCTCTGAAAACAAAAGCCATACTTATACAGGGGCTAAAATATTACACATTAATGACAACTGCTCAGTTTCATTTGGACATTTTTCCCTTAAACAATTATTAAATATTAAATATCTAATAACACCCTTCATACCCTCATAAATCTTTAAGATTGAATGTCTGGTACTACAATACACAAGGTTTTCCCCAGGAAGTTGGTGAGTAAAACTAGGCACGAGAAAAGGGGAAATTGTATAGTTTGTGTGTAAAGATGTTTTTTTTTTAATTAAATGGGATTTATTTTTCTAATGAAAGATCAGCCAGCATTAAACCACTCACATATTCACTGTGGGAAACGTTGTTTAAAGCCGTATGTGTTCATGATTTATGCGCCTTGCTTATTCTAAACCTAATTTCTCTACTGCTTTCTCCCCCACCCTTACCTTTTTTCATTTCTTATCATCACACTGGAATTATCACTGAGTAGACACAAACATTTCCATCTGACGCATTTCAAACTGCCACACCTCATGGCCCAGTGCCCCCCTCACAATCATATATACCCCCTGTTTCCCCACAAGCACCCATTAATGTTTTCACTACATCCATGCCAGTCTGTGATCCCACTGGGCAAGCAGGGACAATTGTGTCCCACCTTCAGCAGATCCAACACCCTGCCACCCCCATGCAGCACACTGACATCATCCCCCATGCTGCATCCCTGCAAACACAGCCCATCATGATCCCACAGCAGTCCATTGTTCCACAACAACAGAAAGGGATGGATCCCCAGACTTCCACCCTCCAGCAGCAGCCACAACAGCAAATGGAGGCTCAGGTGACTCTGACTGAACAACAAGTTAGTGCCATTCAGCTGCCACCAGAGCAGGATCAACAGAGCCTTTCAGCTTCTGCTGTCCAGAAAAATCAACGTGAGCCTGAGCAGCACATCTTTGTACAGCAGCATGTCCAGCCAGCTTCTCAACAGCATGTGATGGCTACACAGGCAGCAGTGTCAGTTCCACAGCCAGGAGAGCAATCTCAAGCTTTTAAACAGCAAGCAGCTGGTGATCCTTGCAAGCAAACTATGATACAGTCACAACTGCAACAACAGCTTCAGCAACAACAAGCTCTGCTACAGCAGAAGGCCTTTAACCTTGAAAACCATAATGTATATGTACAGCAACAGTTTGATCAGCAGCAACAAACTGCATTGCTTCAACAGCAACAACCTCTGCAATACAAGCAACTCACAGATCTGCAGCAACAGCAAGGTCTTGTGCATCAAGAGCCACACATGCACTCACTCTTACACCAATTGGAACAGCAGCAGCAGAGCCAGTTGCATCAGCACATTGGACAACACCAAAATGGAAAAAATGCAGAAACAGAGGTGCAACTGCAAAGTATGCAGCAACAACAGAAAACTGTGTTTCTGCAACAATCCCAGCAGACACAACCGAAATATGAACAAATGCCTCAGCAAAATGTCATCCAGCAGATGGAACAAGTAATAGGACAACAAGACCTGCAAAAGCAGTTCATTTTAAATCAGCGGCAGCTGCAACAGCAGGAGCAGCAACAAGTACAACTCCAGCAACATATCGAGCAGCAACAGCAAGCTCTGTTGCAGCAGCAGTTAGAACAGCAGCATCAACAAGTGGTGTTACAAAAGCAACAAGCTGATTTATTACAGCAGCAAGCTCAGATGAAACACCTGATTCAAGAGCAACAAGCAGCCATCATTCAACTACAGCAAACTGAGAAACAACAGTCCATGCCTATTCCACAAAGCAACGAGGAGCTACATATTAAGCAGCAACAGCTGTGTATCCCACAACTAAACACTGGCCAGTTTACCCAGCAGCAACAACCAACCATCGCACAGCTGCAACACCGCACCTCCAATACTGAACATCTTCTTTCATTAGGTGTTCCAGGTGGGATGGAAACAATTCAGCATCAAACTCATTTACTTTCACCAACTCAGGTTCCAGTTACCATGCAAGCTACACAGACCCCTGTCCAGATGTCTCCTGTTGTCCTCGCTCAGCAAGGACAATGTGATATTCACCATCAGAAGCAAGGCCAGGTCCCAGTCCAGTTTTTAGCCCAGCCAGTACCCCGAGCCCCTCAAGCTGCAGTTGAGGCCAGTGCTATTGCCCAAGCAACAATGGCCCTGCAACAAATGCAAGTCCACCAGAACCAGAACATTCCTTTGCAGGCTAATTATCCTGGACCAGTAACTCCCATACTGAATCCGGTAGCTGCTCAACCCATAACCCAGATTACGTCCCAGGCAGTACCTAGCCAGGTCCCAACTTTTGGACTTCAAACGATAGGCCAAAAGCATCAAGGTAGTGTTCAGCCCTCCGCTGTAGTTACTTCGGTTCCTGGTCCGATCCATCATGGCACTTGTGTTCAGCAAAATGTTCAAATGCCAAGTGTTATCCAGCCCAATCTCCTACAAGAGGCTCAAGGCCAGCTACCTTGCCAGGTGCCTCCCCAGTCTGCAGTTGGCTTTTTAACTCCTCAGTATGTTGCTCAGTCTACCCACCAAACCATACGGCCTTTAGTGTCTGATATGACTCATTTTCCCCAACAGCAATTTCATCAGCAACCAGTAATCTGTTTTCCGCACATGATCCTGTCTCCAGGCATGACTGGCAGTGTTGAGTCTAAAACTGATGCTGTTGTGGTTGATCCCAACTGCCTTGCTTCTCAGGCTGGACAAGCTCACGCTCAAAGCCAATCGACACTTCCTCCAGTTGTTAAGGCTCAGCAACCATCTACAGGAACCTCTGCAGACTCCACAGTTGTCCAGCTCATGTCCCAGCCATTTGTGTTTCAGTCTGCAGAGCATTACCAACATTTTTATCAAGACCAACAATCCCCAGCCCAAACTGCCACACACTCCCAGTTACTAGCACAGCCCGTTCAAACTCCTACCCCACAACTAGGTCCTCCAAAGCAAGATTTGACCACATTTAACTCTGAGGGTCAGCTCCCACTACAGTGTCCCCAAACTCCACATGCTGTGCTGCATCCTTCTGCACTGACAGGGGCCAGTACTGTTGCTGAGGCTCAGCCACAGAGTGGGACCCTACCTCCCTACAGTCACCTATTGGCAGCTGGTCTTCCATCCCCACAGCACCAAGCCAAACAGACACCACCAGCACATACACACACACAAACCAGCAACCAGGCCCAAACACACTCCCACACACAAACACAAGTTCACACACAAAGTCATTCTCAAACTCAGACACCCAATGAGATGCCAAAATCAGGACACCCTGCTTTGTCTCATGCTGCCTTTCTTGCACAACAAATATCCCTCAGCTCTGCAAATACCTCATGTGTCTCAACACCACCACCATCAGTCCCATCCCAACATCCCAGCACTGCTCCTGCTACAGAGCTTCCTACATCTCTGCCAGTAGCCCAGATAATCTTACCCGGGCAGGCCGACTTTGTTCCCACCTCTCCCTCGCCTGTCACTGCGCTACAATCGCTTGACTCTAATGCCCCCAAACTGCCCCAAGCCTCGCTGCAAGACTGTGACATTTCTCTACTGGGCATCACTCAGGTACATGGAATATTAATGTTTGCTGTGATAATAACAACCTATTTCTCTCATTTTGGGTTATCATCTAAGAATAATTCTTAAATATTTGGAAAAACCTCTGACTTCTTGATTAACTAACAAATTCTGATTTTTAAGAGAAGTGGTGTTTTTCAAAAAAATAATGCACACTTCTCCATTATTAGTCTCCTGTAAGTACAACTTTTTAATTATCTTCAGAAATAAATACAGATAAAACACGTTTGTAAGATCTTATTCTTACATTGTTATAACACAAAACACTAAAAACACAAGTTGTACCCTGGACACAGTTATTTGCATTTTATGAGAACCATTTGATAACCTTACAGATGTTTGGTTCTCTTTGCATTTGAAATTATTCATTTTGTGGAGACCTAAGGAGACAATCTGTAGTTTGTACAGTTAATCTCTGGAAATATCCATCGTAACGTTATTGAAAATGAATAAAATGAAGTCCAGTTGTTGAAAAAATATTGGCGGCTTTGTACCATATAACCATAAAAATCAGGTCTACATAGGGTGTATGTGGGTCTAGCATCTTTGGGGGCCAAAACATGACGTCTAATATGGCGCATGTTAGACACCATATTAGACGCCATGTTTTGGCGAATCCGGTAAGTACAACGCCAGAAAACTACAAATGGCATTGCATTCTCTCGATGGAATTAACGGAAGGACCATCAAAGTCTGAGGAATCACGCTGAGGGCACATGCTTTCTCCTCCACAGGAAACCACATTTACCGTAAACTAGCAACAGCCATGGTGATATGTTGTGTAACTGTCCTGAAATGTATCTACTGCCCCTTAGCGGCAGGAAACTACACACTACCACTTTAAACAACAGAACATTTGAGTTGTCTATAAATAATGAAATTTGTCACAGCTGCCACAGTAATTGTGTTCAGGGTATTTCTGTAGATGTGTGTGTTCAATCACCCAAATAAAATGGTGTTTTATCAAAATACTCATGTTCTTACAGTTCAGGAGTTTCAATGTTTCTGGAAAGGATTTAATTGGTTATTTATGTCATTAGTTTCAAATACCATTAATTGTTACATTTGATTTAGCAAATCATTATTTTTTCTTGCATATGTTTACATTTTGTGTATATGTTCATGAACCACTCAGCAGGATGGTGCATCCCTGACAATCGCAGAAAAGTCTTCATCAGGGTATGTCTGACATCAATCTAGAACCCTTTATTTACCTAACAGTGAAAGCACTGGTTTGAGTTTAGTAAAAAAAAAAAATTTCAGAAGAAAAGAAAAATATAATAATTTTGTGACATTTCTTTTGATGATTAATTTTTAATCACTTTTATGATAGTTTTCATCTAACAAATCATGTAAAGCTTTATTGATATACACTGTTCATTGTTAAATTACTTTATATTTTACTTACCATGATTCTAAATTTTACTTTTTGTGACAGTAATCAAAATCCATACACTTCTTAGATCTCTTCCAGCCAGTGGAGAAGACCCCATGCAGCCTTCAGCAAATGGAAAATTAGAAAAGTCAAAGACTCAGAAAACAGCTTCCTCTCAGAAGCCTGAAAAAAATCAGTTTCAACTGAGCATGCTGCAGGTACAGAAAAGTCTTACGTCCTTGGTCTGTGTTTACCCTATGTTGTTTTTGAAAATACTGGTTGCATAATAAAAAATATTTTTCCCTAAAATGTCTAGGTTTCCAGCAAGGGAGATAATATGGTTGAATGTCAGCTAGAAACACACAGTAATAAAATGGTGACATTCAAGTTTGATATTGAAGGAGACACACCTGAAGATATTGCAGATTACATGGTGAACTTTTCATACTGCACATCTATTCACTCTTACCTAAAGACGATCACATATTTTAGCCGTTTGCCTTTGGTTTCCCTTCCTAGGTGGAGGAGGACTTTGTCCTTGATTTAGAGAAAGAGAAATTTGTGGAGGAGCTCAGAGCAATAGTAAAGAAAGCCCATGGAAGTCTTCAGACACATTCACAGGTATGTGGATATTCACCTGTCTGCTTGCCTCCTGTTATGTTGTACAATGAATGAGTAATAATTATTTTTTTAAATCAGACCGGATCAACTGACCAGTTGGGCACTCCCAGTAGCTCAAGTGAGTTCTTGGATATAATTTTTTCACCCAACAGGGGACTGTTCATAGTAGGATAACCACTAAACCATCGTTATGGTTACTTCGTAGATTCTGCGCCACACTCATCTCCTGTGGGGCGCTGGCGCTTCTTTATCAACCAGACCATTCGTCACAGAGACTCCCTGTCCAGCCAGGGCACGGTCACACCACCACCCACTACAGAGACGAGGATTCCTCAATCTCCTCAAAGAGATAAAGGTGAGAACCCTTCATAGGTCCATTTGATTACTGCTTTTTTTTTAACTTGGTGATTAAATAACAGGTTTTTTATTGCTGTTTTTTAGTGGTTGCAGAAGATGGTGGATCTCAAAATCTTGAGTCCTTCACTGGAATAGTGTCTTCCCCCCACACCACCCTTTCACCTCCTGAAGCTGAGGCTGAAACCATCTCTGTCCCATTAATTGACTCAAGGTGTACTGAACTACAAATGTCCACCTCTGCCTCTGACTTCCACATTCCTAGTTCTCTTCCACTTGTACCTACTGTTGCAGATGTCCCCACATTGTCCACTGCTCCTGCTGTTGTGTCTTCCTCCACCTCAGCCATGTTCCCTGGTATGTCTACTAGTGTTGTACCCAATGCAGCAGCCTCCTCTGCTGTGGGAAGCCAGCTTGTCTTAGAGCAGCAGCAGCAGACATTCACCCAGGTGGCTCCATCAGTGCACCAACAACTGCAAGCAATGCATCTTGAAAAAGAGACGCATCAGTCAGCACCACAACAACCACAATTAAAATGTCACGGCAATCAAGAACAAATTTTGCTGCTGCAAGAACAACCATCGCAACAGCCTCTGCAGAAATCAGTGGAAAACCAAACTCAATCTCAGCAAGAAGCGCAGATGCTGACTATGTGTGGGAACACAGATTTGTTACAGCAGTCTGTTCCTACACACCCATTTATCCCACTTTTACCCACACAGCAGACCCAACCACTGCAAACACCACAGTGTGGCACACAGCTGCTGCAGCAGCAGCCCCAGTTTCAGCAGTTATCAGAACAGGTTATTGCACCTCCAGCTGCTTTGGTGTCGCAGCAATCCGAGCAGCAGCAGCTAAACCTGCAGCAGACAATATACTTACAGCAACAGAAAATGATGGAGCAGCAGCTGCAACAACAGCTTTTAATGGGCGCTCAAAACCAAGCATTGTCCTCAGCTGTTAACCAACAGCAGGCACAACCAAATGTCACGTCTGTATCACAACAAATTCTACATCAGAACCAAGTTCCTGCTGAGCTGCTGCAACAACAACAGCATGAGACGGTCAAAGCCACAGACACCCCACAGAAACAGCCACCAGTCTCCACGCAGAAGCAGTCTTCATTTCAGATGTCAGAGTCAGAGGTGTCCGCAGGTGAGACGAGTGTCACAGAGGACGCTGGGAGCTATTCTGCTGCTTTTAACCCTTCCTCTGATTCCTCTCTGCCGCCCCTCCATCTTGGATCTACTGAGACCCACTTACCCAATCTCTCCCTCACAATGACACCCTCCCCTGCTCAGCCATCCTCTGTGGCTGAGTCGGACAGTGAAGGTCCCCCAAAAATGGGGTTTGTTGACAACCGGATCAAGACTTTGGATGAGAAGCTGAGGAACTTGTTGTATCAGGAGTACAGCAGTGGTGCATCGTGCTCTGGAGCTGCATCTGTTCCTGTATCAGCTGCCTCCTCATCAGCAGGGGGTGATGAGTTATCTGAGCTACAGTCACTCCAGCACTCATCTTTTCACCCACCTGCCTTTTCATCTGATACATCCCCTCATTCCTCATCCTCTACGACCTCCTCCACCACTTCCCGTTGCTCCTCCACCTCTCCCGACCCAGAAAGGGGTAGAAGGGGAGAAGAAGCTTATCTTGACATGCCCAACCTCGTTCAGTTGAGCCCAGTGGACCAACAGCCTGGTCCATCTCTTACCTCCAATGCTGCCTCATCCACCCTCCTCCTGCCATGTCAGGACAGCTCTGCTGGTGTCCCAGGCCAACCAGTACCAGGAGAACCAACTGTACTTGTAAGTAAATACTAAAGAACATATTTTGAGTAAATCTCTCTGTGAGCTTATTTTAATTAATATTGGTGTTTACGTTTAAGTGTGTAAATGTGACTACCTGTCTGTGATGATTTGTAATATTTAAATGTTTAAACGCATCTCTTTTTTTTTATGTCTCACATCCATTCAGCCATTCCTAATTCTCCTAACTATTCTAGGCTGTACTCCCACACTCTGACACCATTGCCACTGAAGACGCACCGTGGCCTCCCAGTCAGCAACCGATCCCTCTCAGGCACGGAGAGCAGCAGCACAATGCAGGAGGTGGATATTTTGGCCTAAACCTGACTTGTCCTAGTATCAGAAATCCGGTTAGCAAGAAATCCTGGACTCGAAAATTCAAAAACTGGGCATGCAAACTGCGCCACTCCGCCATCTTGTTCAAGAAGGCCAGAGTCCCACAAGGTAGCGTCTTTTTAGGGAGCAAAAGAGCAAGAGAGAGAGCATGGGGTGTTGGGGCATGGATTAATTCCTATGTCTAATACTAGTTTTAACCCAGTAAATAATCTTTAAGAGCTAATCCATGCTAATGTTTAAAACTAAATGATCACTTTAATCATATTTGACATAAATGCCTCATATGTCAGTGTCAACATCACTGCATACATTACCGTTTGTATATATATTTTTTGTTAAAATTTTCTTTTCTCCACTAATTTTAATTTTCTTGAAAGTTTTTCTTTGTTTGCACGAGTTACTCGGAGACTGTAATGGTGGGCAGTAGAGAAGGGTGGGACATTGGCACGGTGAAGGAAGAGGTTGGCATCAAAAGTTTGATGAGCTCTGGAGTAAAGCCCAGCTGTGACTTGTGCTCAGGACATACCCCTCCATATGTCACCCCACCCCCTTCATTATCCTAAGCCCACAGGCACTACCAGCAGAATCCGCCTCACCTCTTCACCTCCACCTGCAGGCTCAGTGTAGACAGCACCTGTCAGCTAAGATCTGCTATCCTTCAGAATGCATGTGCTCTTTCCTAGAGGCTTGCACTACTTAGTGAGACTCAACTTTGGTTTATAGTGGACACAACAACAACAGTACGTGGTTTTCGTACAGCTTAGATTTAAAAAGTATGATTTTTTTTTTGCTATGTGATTTTGTTAGTTAAACGCTTGATCTAAAAATGTAAGGATTTAATATTCACTTGAAGCAAAGTTCCGTTATTTACAACTTTTAGAATTGGAACCTTTCTTTTATGTTATTAGCCAGTAGCATTAGACATCTGCTTACATACAGATGTCAATCACAGAGCATTTGCAGAAGTAACTAGACTGATCCAGAGTTGGCAACATTTCTTTACAATTACTTATGAATTAATGGCATAGTGTGAGAATAATAGTGCGTTGTTGCTCTGTTGGCCAGCTAGAGGTGCACATTTATATACGAGAGGCATTGATTCAGCCATAATCACGTAGGGTTAGGGGCTGACGGTGCAACACATTTTTCCACCTCTAGATGGTGCCCTCTGGGGAAAAACTCCAGATTTCTGCTCTAATTGTTAATTCTATAAAAGTAAATTCTACCCAAGTTTATACACAACTAGACTTTTTATTTGCTTTATGCTCTTGTAGTTTTCCACCCATCCTGCATGCATTTGTACTCATACATGTTACATGTACAGAACCAGCTTAGAACCTCTGCTATAAGAGCACATGCATGATCACCTGTTACGTTCCACACAAGTGACTAATAATGGACCACACATCTGTAAGTAACATCTGCCCATTTATTCCCATGTGTGTGTTTAATTTAAACATTTTTATTGTTTATTTTGAATAACCTTTATTTATCAAAGTGCAGACTTTACTAATGTTGTAACACATGATATCAAACACTGGGCCCAGGTCTCAGATGTAATATTGGATGTTTTTTTATGTTTGAGTCAATGAGAATGAGAGTGGGTGTGTTAGTAGATGGGAAACATTTTATTTAACTGTTATTTCACATTTTTGTTATTAATATATTGAATAGTCCAACAGGAAGTGACCTAACACACATACATACAGAATGTTTACACATTTAAAAGGGCTGCATGCAAGCTGTAGTATGTGACAAAGCTGAACAAGTAGCTTATGTGTGGCGTTGACAGGTGACTTTTTTAACTCTGCTTTTTTGTGTTTGTGTTCCACGTCTCTCTTGCTGTGATGGGCATTTTGCTTGCCTTTGTCCTTATTTGTGTGCTCTTTGTACACGTGTTTTGTGTTGTTGTCTTTGGTTAATTTATTTTTTTGCCTCCTGTTTTTCTTTTTCATCCCTGTCTGTTTTATCAGATTCAATCAGTCACCCTCTTGGTGATGAGAAAAAGGCAACGCCGTTAAGTTCACCTATATCACACAAAGGGCGATTTCAGGTTAGAAAAATATTCCGATTTTATCCGACTTTTTTTTTCTTGTTTTGCCTAAGCGTGCATTAAATGTCTCACTTTTGTTGTTAGGTGACACCCGTGCCCCAGACTTCACCCCCAAAAGATGCGCCACTGAGCCATGGTGGCACCCACAGGAGAGTGGGACGCTTCTCCGTAACCCGGACAGAGACCAAGAGAGGGGACCAGCAGACTGACAGCTCACCAGTGTCTAATGATTTGAAAAGAGAAAGGAGGAAGTCTCAAGCAAAGGACAGGAACAAAGATGAAAGTAAGAGGACTTCATCAGTGGCACACCTGCCCCGAGGGATTGGTCATAGCCACTCAACTGCTGGAAGCAGTGATGATGATGATGATGATGATGATGATGAAAGTGAGCTGGAGGATGAAGAGCTGAGAAAAGAGTTACACAAGCTCAAAGAAAAGTAAGTGTAAAAGAGGGAATGCCAATTTATATTCTTTTATTTGTGTTTATGTTTTCTTTTTTTTTCTATTTGTAGGCACATCAAAGAGGTTGTTTCCCTTCAGGCCAAGCAGAACAGAGAGCTTCAGGAACTTTACAGACAGCTCCGTTCTCTAAAAGACCAAAGACAGAGTCTGCCAGCCTCCCTGTCCCGATCTCCTCTTCTTTCCACAGGTACTCCTGTCCTCTCGCCACGTAGGCCAAGACCGGCCAAAATGAAGCTTCGTCCCCGGCCTCACTCTCACATGGACAACAATGGAGTTATGCACTCTGGTTAGGCTGTAAACTATTATTTGTTTTTCTGTCTTAAGGAAACGTGTTTTTCTGTAGCAATGTATCGTGTTTGTCTCTTCTAGGGATTCAGCAGCCATGTTGTTTTTCAGGTGGTGAACAGGGTGAACTGTCACCATTCTACAACCCAGAGCTTCAGACTTCATTGCTTGCTAAAACAGGTAAGTTATCGGATTAATGCTTAACCTAAACAACACATTAATACAGTCAATGGGAGTCCTATTGAATCACTATGTTTTTACACAGATCCGAGTCCCTCAAGGAAAAGCACATTCACAGACGAGCTGCACAAACTTGTTGATAATTGGACGTTGGAGATGGTGGGTCCTGTGCCAACCAAGCCTTCACTCAATCAGATCAAACAGATTCAGCAGGTGCAGGGAGGCTGGAGCCAATCAGCAGAGGTACAACAACACTACACTAGCATTTAAAAATACATTTCTCACTTGTTTGAATAGAATTCTATATTATAAATTTAAACAATCTAACTTTATTCAAAATAATGTAAACAGCTTCTTATTACAGTATAATTTTGGACAATAAAGGTGAAATATTTTTCAATATTTCTGATGCTGGCGTTTGCTTGAGGGGTCTCATTTTATGTTTATTAATACAATCGCAGATGGCTTCACCTGGTTGGTTTCCAGCAATACAACTGAACCCTCAGACATCCCCAGCCTCTGCAGGGTTGGCAGCAGCAGCCCCCCCTCATTACACAGGAGGAGGAAGCATGACCACCCTACCCTCCGCAGGACTTCCCCCATCACAAACTCACATGGCTCAAGTGCCACAGATGCAGCAAAGTTTACACCTCCATCAGTCTGCCCCCCTCCAGCAGATGACCTATCAGCAGCCCCCTTTGTGCCAGCAGATGCCACAGCCTCGGATGCAAACCTCCATACCCTCACCGACCCAGCCCACCATGCTGCTGCCCCAGTCAGCACCACAAAGCCAACCCCTGCTGCCATCCCAAATGCCTGCATCATCAGTGTCGACAGCCAATCTCGTGCTACACGGCGGTGTCACAGCCGTACCTGCCGACAGCACCGCTGTCATTGGAGCACCATTTAACACCTGCTCTTCATCCTCGTCTGCTTGTTCCTCCTGCTCAGCTGCTGCTCTGCCTCCCAGTGCCAAAATTCACCCAACACCCCCCACCTCTACACTTCCTCTGGGACAGAAATGAAGAGATAAAAACACCTACCGGGTCTGGACGCTTGGAATGTCAGTGGAACGTGTGTGTGTGTGTGTGTGTGTGTGTGTGTGTGTGTGTGTGTGTGTGTGTGTGTGTGTGTGTGTGTGTGTGTGTGTGTGTGTGTGTGTGTGTGTGTGTGTGTGTGTGTCTGTGTGTGTGTGTGTGTGTGTGTGTGTGTGTGTGTGTGTGTGTGTGTGTGTGTGTGTGTGTGTGTCACAGGAAGTTATTGTGGAAGACAGAACTGTAATACGAAACACAGCAGTTGTGTTTTTGAAATGCCTCGATGTTGAGTTGAGTCTTTTGTGTATGAGTGTGTTTTCTGAGTGTGTGTTAGTGGAATATCTGACAACATATCACTTGTGTCCTTGGATACAAATGACCCGTTTTGTTGTCAAACCAACTCTGCTGAACTCAGACCCCCCTCCCCCCGAAACAGAGACAAAAACGACAAAATGAAGCAGATTCTAGTGCACTGAGGCTGGAGAATGACACTATTGCACCGTGGTTGTATTTTTGGTTTAAATTACCAACACTAACAGTGAAAAGACTATTCAATTTAAAAGTGCAATTAGTGATGGTCATCTAAACTGATCAGCATTGTCACGAAGCCTGAAAGAGTTTTGTAGAGGCACACAGATTAGAAGCATAGAGGACTTTTTTTAACATTTAAAAACTTAATACTTACAGCACAACATAATTCAGCGGCCATTGAAAGTCAATTAAACAGCATGTTATGAGGCTGAGCATGGTATCTGGCTACCTTCATTCAAATTTCACCAACACTTTTTTAGTGTCATATATGCTACAGCATGTTATTTGTTATTGTTTTGTGTTTTAAAGAGAAAACTGTCCAAATTAACACGTTTTTGTCACTAAGAGACTATAAATATGTGTATGCCATCAGTTTTCAGTTAATCCCTGACTACTCCCAGCCCCAAACCACGTAACTTTTTGACTTATTTGACTCACCTGAATGCAAACTACTTTCACTTGTTCTATTGCTTTCAGTTAAACCCTGCAGATCAAGTAAAAGCGGTGTCATGCAGAAAAAAACAAAAAGAGCTGCCAAATTATTCTCAGTAGGGGGAAACGAAACTGAATCGGGTATTTCCATGTTGCCTTTCATAATTACTGCTATGTTGTGAGCGTGTGATTGTATGTTTATATGTGCAGCAAAGCTTTGAGTCCTGTTGTATATTTTGTCTTGAATTTCACTCCCCTTTTTTTAGCAGCCTCTCAGATGTCACTGTACTCAAACGAAAATGTTTACTATGCCTGTGTTCCAGGCTCGCTTCCTTATGCTACAGAAACTGAAATATTAAAGGGGTTTTTAGTGTGTTGTTCTAACACTGTTGTGAGATACTCACATGTTGAGCTGTAAGCTTTGTTTGGTAATCCTTGTTTCAGCTGTGAGCTATTTAGTCTTTTCCTGCAGGATTTCTGAAATGCAGGCGATAGATGTGATTTATGCTCATCACTAAAAGTTTAACTTGTTCTCTCTAAACTTCATTTGTACATGCAGAGATGTGCAGAGTAATGTATCGGCGAATGATATGTTGCTAGCTTTAAGTGAACTTCACCATGCACAAGTTTGACCATTGATGGTTAGATATTAATAAATACATTTTAGTGTAAAACTGGCCTGTGTTCAAAGCAGCATTCATGTTTGAACTGATTATAGAAAAAGCATAAGACTCAGAAAACAGGAAATTGCACAGAATGATAAAAGCTGCTAAATGTGAGTCGAGAAATCGAGTCGGACTGGCTTAGGATGACTAGTTCATACTAAAAGGTGTGATTGAGAAATTGCATAATCTAGAGTATGAATTTTAAAGTGTGTTTTCATTTGTTTTTCCAGACTTGCTACACTTTCAGAGTAGTTTACTAGTAGTGAAGGTGAGATACTGTGCTGTCCGATACTAACGTGTCTAACAAGCTGTAGCTTGATGGTCATGATTCTGAAGGTGGCTGTGTCCCTGTGAGTGTTACCAAAATGTGATTTAAAAGATAAATATTATTTTTGTATTTTAGAATGGGAGTGTACAAATTGTAAAATTTTATTCTTGTTGCTATTAATTAGAAGTTTTTTTTAATCCCTGTTTTATATGGGGCTCCCAGTGCTTGTATATACAGTATCTCTACAAGCAAGAGCCATTACTTTTAATTTATATAGAGGAAAAGTCCTTTATATATACACGTGATTTCTGTTTTAATCTGGATTATTCGTAACAAAATTACACCAGCTGTGCAGATTTAAAATATTATAAATTAAAACAACAAATTTGGGAGACCCGAAATACATGACTGTGATCCAATGAAAAAGGTTTTCTTATGCAGAAAATGTGAGATAAAACATGCTGATGATTTCCCTCTCTGTACATTGTAACTAATTCAACTGTTGATTTTATTTATGTTTTGTAACTAATCAAAATAAATGATTTAATCATCAAAATGCATGGCATTTTTTTTTCAAAAGCAAGTCAGTAGTAGCTCTTCAGATTTTGATTTAAATATGAAAAGGATACATGATCTCTTTATTGCAGTTTCTGTTTACAAATCAGCATGCACCATGTCATACAAAGTTTTTGTAATGTAGGCCTGCTGAAAACAAAATATCTTCAAAGACCATTTGTTTATCACAGATTTCAGAAATTTGAATTTTTAGCTGATGGCAATATTTCATAAATTAACAAGTACATTTTAATTAACCCTTTGATGCATAATGGTCACTACAGTGGACAGGTACTCAAAATTGTTATTTATTTTTTTTGCTATAAAGCACAGCTGTTGAAGACTTTTGCATTTGAGCCCCTCCATTTAGACTTCAGCAAGTCAAGCCAACATCATGTTCAGAATGCATGCTGTCCACTAAGGTGGACACGTAATAAATTATTTGTAAATTATTAAATGTTTCAAAAACATTTGTTGAAATTTGTTTCATTCACACCTAAAGATTAATGAAAAAGACTGTTAAAAAACATGGTTGAAGATTTCATAATTCATAATGCATCAAAGGGTTAAGAGGAAGTCGGGGAAAAACAAAAGTATAAAATGCGTTTTCTGATGTTTGAATAGTTACAAATTCTATACATATAATTATAATTAGTTCATTATATTGAATTTATTTAAAAAACGTGATATCAAAGTATATATTTATGTTGAAAGTGCTGAAAGTGTTTCTGTAGCCGCATGAAAGCTTTTTTTAACTCATTTTGACTATCCGCAACTTTATTGTTCATCCAATTGCAGACAACAACAACGAAACAACGGTTTGACGCTATCCTCTTTGAAATGGCGCTGAGGTAGTTAAAGGCGCACTTTCTGCGTGTTACTTTCCTCTTTTAGCTCTCTTCAGGTTTTAGTTTTTGTGCCAGTGCTATTGTCTAAACACGACCTTCGTTTTTGAGCATCATTCAGTTCATAAACAAAAATGTGTTGAAGTAAATTGCTAAAAATTGACGTCGCATAATAAGGCCGCGGTAGCCCCCGAGCTTGCGTAGAGATTACAGCCGCTTTTCAGTGTTTGGCCTAGACGCAGAGCAGCAGCGGTTTGGTGAGTGGCAATCGGCTAGGGTTGAGTTACCCATCTTAGCTTAGCTAGAATTACCTCACAGTATTAGCTTCATAAAATACGTCTTTCAAATATACTATTTAAAGCTAACTGTTCAAGTTTGCATCTGGACAATTGTTACTGCGCGGCTAATGCTAGCTTGCGCTCAAAGTGTAGCCGAGCACGGTGTGTTTACAAACAGCAAGCTAACCTTACAACTTGCGACGTTGTAGCATTATAAGCAGAAGCGAATTAGCTTCAGACATATTCTGCAAATACCACGATAACAGAAATCTTACTATGTAATTAGTTAATTTATGCAAAAGCTTTACCATTGATGGCGCTTTATTCTAAGCTACAAACAGCCAACAAGTTTCGTGCTCAGCTGAGAGCTAGATTACTGAATCTGAAAGTTTTAACCCAGTTACGTCTCAAAGTGGTGTATGTGTGGTTTTACTGTAATCATGAGTGATGACCACCTCCTAATATTGTTCTCTTGTGTTTGTGTTTTAATAGTCATTCAAGTGAATCCAGTATATAATATTATCAGGAGTTCACCAACAGCAATTTTACATCTGCATTAACATTTGTACACACACCTAAAGTCAACATGGCATCAGTCCCACTGTACTGCTTGTGTCGCCTTCCCTATGATGTGACACGCTTCATGATCGAATGTGACAATTGTCAGGACTGGTTTCATGGAAGGTAATATGTTGTTTTTATTTATTTTGTAGACTAAAATTTACTGGCATGTTTTTCAGTTATGTATTCGTAATTTGATTTCCATAGGTAAAATAGGTTTTGAACTTACTGGACATGATTGATTTAATCTGCCCTGTATTATTTGTACAGTTGTGTCGGAGTAGAGGAGAACAAAGCAGTTGAGATTGACTTGTATCACTGCCCCAACTGTCAGGTCACCCATGGGCCATCAGTTAGTAAGTCCTTTTATTTGGTTAAAAAGAGACTTAAAAATATTGTCACTTCCAGGCATTTGTATTTCTGCAACTTGGCTATCAATTTGTCACAGGATTTATACGTGCTAAGCACACATTTTTGAACTTGTTATGCTGCTGTTACTTTCGTCTTTAACTGTGCACATGTTAATTGTTTTCTCAGTGCGCAAACGACGTGGAGCCAATAAGCAGACAGATGGAAGCACTAGTGTAGGAAGAGATCCAAGTCGACCTGTTAAGACGGGGAGTCCACAGTTTGTTAGGGAGCTTCGAAGTCGTACCTTCCCAAGGTAAGAACCATGTCTGGCAACAAATGAATAAGTAAAAAATATCACTATAATGTCAGTGTGGTGTGCTAGTTCTAGTAAACATCACACTCCATTTTAACATTTGAAATGGAGTAAAAACATAAAATACACTTTCTGTTATTGCCATTGCATTAGATTTCACTGATGTTGCTTTTATAACTATTACCGTGTTTTTTATTTTTTTATGGATAAGCTTTATTGTCACATTTCTAAATATGTCATGTTTTCTTGTGTCTGTGTCATGATCGCAGCGCGGATGAAATCTTGCTCAAGCCATCTGGGGCGCAGCTGACAGTCGAGTTTCTGGAAGAACATTCATTCAGCGTTCCTGTTATGGTGCTGAGGCGGGATGGCTTAGGCATGACCCTTCCTCCGTCATCATTCAGTGTCAGTGACATAGAGCACTGCATTGGTACGGTTTCAGTCTGTTAAACCCATGATTTGGATACATTGAGTTTTATCATGTTATCTTGTTTTATCAGCTTCATACACAAAGTAGTGCACAAACGTTTTGAGCCAACTCTTAATCCTTGTACTTTAAACTAGCCACACAGCTTTTTGGAATTTTGGAAGAGTTCTTGAGCAAATTTTAGATTTTGCATGTTGCCCTCACTCATCTCCCGGGTTTCCTCCTGATACCCTGGAAACATGCACGTCTGGTGATTGACTGCATTGTAAAATGAATCATATGTAAATTAAGGCATCTACCAAATACATTAATAAACACAGCTAGGTAACAAAGAGCGTTTCGAAAAGTTTTAAGACCACTTTCAAAGACTGCACAAAAGTTTGTCTTTTTTGAATTTATTACAATGAAATAAAGCATGGCCCAAGAAATTTTTCTTAAATGAATGAGAATGCAAGTTTTTTTTTTTTTTAACTTTCTGGAGTTCAATATGACTAACAAAATTACTCTGTTAAAAATATCAATGGCAGGTACAGATAAAGAGATCGACGTCATCGATGTGTCTCGACAATGTGATCTAAAGATGCGTCTGGGAGACTTTGTTGAGTACTACAACAGCCCTAACAGGGAGAAAGTGCTTAATGTCATCAGCTTGGAGTTTTCTGACACCAGGTATAGAAATCTAAACAGAGGAGTATCTCCTAGTCTTGGCAGTGTATTCATGGATGTGATCTGTTGGACTTGACTCAGGCTCTCAAACTTGGTGGAGACTCCCAAGATTGTGAGAAAACTTTCGTGGGTTGAAAATCTCTGGCCCGAGGAGTCTGTTTTTGAGCGCCCGAATGTGCAGAAGTACTGTCTGATGGGAGTGAAAGATAGCTACACAGATTTCCACATCGACTTTGGAGGCACTTCAGTTTGGTACCATGTGCTGAGGGTGAGAGGATGAATGTTTTAGGTCAATTTTCAAATGCTTCAGTTGATGTTACTGTATTATACACAAATCTGTTTCATTTTGTGTTATACTCAGGGTGAGAAAATCTTCTACCTAATTTCACCCACTCCAGCCAACCTGGCTCTTTTTGAGCGCTGGAATTCCTCATCTAACCAAAACGAGATGTTCTTTGGAGATCAAGTCGACATGTGCTATAAGTGCTCTGTCAAACAAGGAAACACATTGTTCATTCCAACAGGTAAAATATCACCCTATTTAAAAAATAATAAGTAAAGAATGCCCATAGCAGAACCTGCTCTGTAAGTTTTAACAAAGAGCAAAAATAAGGAGTTAACAGTTTACTGGTGTGCCTGTCTAAGTGTGGACCTGGTCTAAATCTGATAACGGTTTATTGTTTTCCAGGATGGATTCACGCAGTGCTGACTCCGGTGGACTGCCTGGCCTTCGGAGGAAACTTCTTGCACAGTCTCAACATTGACATGCAGCTGCGGTTCGTTTTTTCCTTTTATCAACCTTTGACCAAAATCACATTAAACACAGCTCTCCACATAGATAATAAAAATGAAAACACCATTTAAATTCAGATGTGTTCTGAAAAAACTTGTATCTCTGAAGAAAAGATTTTGTCTTCATATTTTTGACAACAGCAGCTGCTTCACTTGTGCTTTGGTGTTTTTTAGGGCTTATGAAATAGAGAAGAGACTAAGCACTGCAGACTTATTCAAGTTTCCTAACTTTGAGACCGTTTGTTGGTATGTTGGCAAACACCTTCTTGATACGTTTAGAGGTGAGGACTTTCTGTGGAATTCATATTTCGGTTGTGTTTGTGTTTATTATAAACTCCATAAATTACTCTTTGTAGTATTATTAACTTAGTGGTCATTTTACAGGTTTGAGGGAAAACCGTAGACACCCCGCCAGCTATCTTGTTCATGGAGCTAAGGCCCTGAATAATGCCTTTCGAGGCTGGACTCGTAAAGAGGTAAAATTATTCTTTTACATAAAATGTTAGCTCTGTCATTCGTTATTTCAGTTCTTCTGACCCTTTGTAACCGTTTAGTTCATATGAGTTAGGATGCAGTGTCAAAACTTATATGAATTGTGCAGAGAGCTGCTAAATTTAACTAAAACAGTTTTAAAATCATCACAATGGTGGTCACTAACAAAATCATGTTTCAAATGATATTTTTAATCTGAAAAAACAACATGAAACTGTCAGTTGTGGTAAACCTGACAGCATGTTATAAAAATAATACTTCTGCTTCTTCTACTGAAGTGTCAATTTTTAATTTAGTCTAAAAATAAAACGGATGTTGTTTGTGTGCCAAAAAATATTGCAGTTGATTTGTTTTGCTAAAGTGTCTAGCGTTAACTGGTCCTAGCGTACCTTTGTGATTAAAATCCACTTGAGGGTCTCTGTGTTTAGGAGACGGTTTCCCACCTTAACGCGGGTTGTGTAAATGGTTGTTTAGTTGTTTATTTAGGTTTCTTGGACATTTCTAGAGCTTTTCATATTTTATAACGCAGACATCAGTTATGATTGAATACGAATCTGCAAATCTCTGTGACTTTGTCAGAACGGCTGCAGGCCTTTTTGTTAAAATCATTACGCAGCTACAGCGTTTAGTTCATGTAAGAATGTTTGAATGGAAACAAAGATGTGTGTGACAGACAGAGGACAGGAGAGTGGTTATTCTACCTTCCTGTTCGACCAGAAATCAGAGGAACTTGTGTGTCTCTATCAAACTGTGCAAGGAATTGTAAAATGTATGAGTTATTATTGGTGAAAATAATACTCACCTGAGTTCTCCAGCCTCCTTGCTTCAGGTTGATTTTTCATCAGCTGTAGAGCACCAGCTGGAGAGTGTATGACCTGCTTAGTATTTTATTCTACTGTAGTAATTTCATAGTATTTGTAATCTTTTGGGATTCCCTCTCAAGAGCTGGCCCAAGTGGCTGGGGAGAGGGAAGTCTGGGCCTCCTCGCTTATGCTGCTGGCCCGGCGACCCGATCCCAGATAAGCAAAAGAGAATGAATGTAATATTTTTAAATAGTGTGCTAAATAACTGGATGTTTCCTGTTTACACTTAGGCCATAGCAGATCATGAAACGGAGATACCAGAAACCATCAATACTCAGACATTAGTAAAGGATCTGGCCAAGGAGATTCGACTGGTTGAGGTAAAATCCAACTACACACAAATTTGCATTTAAACTTCATAAAATGTAATTTTAGCAGAATATTTCCCCACTGCTCCTGCTTTCAATCACCTTATTATTATTATTTTTTTTAGGATATATTCCAGCAGAACATCGGCCGCACAGGTACTCAGTTTCCCGGTGCGCCTCTCTCTAAAGTTCCCCTAAGCGCCTCCCAGAACTCGGGACGCCCCCCTGGAAAAAAGAAAGGGCCCAAACCCAAAGAGGTGTTGGGGGCCTTGGCGTCCCCATCAACCAAAAAGAAGAGTCAGAAGGGACTACTGAAGGCTGAAGCTGAAGATATCGACATGATTGAAATCCACACCAAACACACACTGAAAAAATTTCAACCTGGCAAGTCCAAACACAAGAACAAGGTATGAGACTTGAACATACGCGAGAGGAGTATTTGTACTGAAATGTTTTAATTTCATGTTGTACCTTTTGTTTCTGTCAGTTGGAGCTGCCATTGGAAGAATTTGAAGGGAAGATAAATAAAAACAAATTTAAACTTGTCCTGAGTAATGGAAAGATCCAAGGGTAAGTGTTGGTGTTCTTTGAGGGTTTTGTGTGTGTGTTCGGGCTTTGATGTGTTATATCTCTGCCTTTAGTAAGAACGGTGGTAGCAGTAACGGTGCGGGGAGCGCTGCGAACTTCAAACATCTGGCCACGGAGGAATCCAGTCTTTCTGAATTGGAGTCTGAGGATGAGCTGCAGATTGATGAGACCCCCCCTCCACGGCGAAAGCCAGCTGGGCCGAACAAGAAGAAGAAGCTAAGCGGTAGCGGTTTGATTTTAAATAAGTCATTAGAATAAATCTACGGTACAGTTTCAAACCCAGATAGTCCATGTCAGTGGGTTTCAACAGTGTTGGAATGTCCCTTCAGGTCTTCCCAGGAAGCTGCCTAGAGCTAAACCTTGTTCTGATCCAAATCGCATCAGAGAGCCAGGAGAGGTCGACTTTGACATTGAGGTGAGTTTTTTTAATACGGAGCACTTGTGGAGCCAGTTGTATTTATGATGTGATCAATTTTTATCGTCGTTTCTTGAAAATTGTAAACACATAATGGATTTAAATAGGAAGCATATAAAACAGAATTTTATGTAATTTAATGATAGATCTATGCCCAGAAACAGTTTTCCTATGAATTGTGTTCATGTTTATGCTAAGCGTTGTGCTTGTGTGTTTTCAGGAGGACTATACTACTGATGAAGAGGCATTAGCAGCCCATGGAGTGAAGGGTGGTGCAGGAGGCATTCTTGACCTATTAAAGGCCAGCAAGCAAGTGGCAGGCTTAGACTCTGCAGCACTCAGGTTCATTTTTTACAGCATTAGTGAATAGTGGTTGTATTTTGACACATTTCCAGTTGTATTTGAAAGTTGTATTAATGATTTTTTTTTTCTTGTAGTGAGGAAGCCCCAGCTTCTCCCAGCACTCGAGACGCCATCCAGGGTATGCTCTCCATGGCAAATCCCCCTTCCTCGTCCTCCTCTTCCTCCTCTTCTTCTCCTTCGTCCATCTCTGGAGGCCTGACAGAAGGGTTAGGAGTCGTCAAAGAGAAGGGCGGCAGAACTGTGTGGTTGACGGGAGGAAACAAGAAGACTGCGAGTCCTGAAAAGAAACCTGTCATCCAGCGACCCGGAAAGCGACCAATCAAAAGGCCAGCCCGTCACCTGAGTGATGAAGAAAGTCCAGATGAACAAGAGACACTTGGAACTTGTTTTAAAGATTCAGATTATGGTATCAGCACAATGTTTTGCATCAATTCAAGTTTATTTATGTAGCGCCAAATCACGACGAGTCGTCTCAAGGCACTTCACATAATAAAACATTCCACTACAGGTCAGGTCATCAGTTCACTGTTTTAGTAAAGTTAAGTTGCAGGAATGTGTTTATCTTTTTAGTTTACCCCTCGTTGGAGTCTGACGAAGAGGACCATGTCAACAAGACTAAGATGAAGAGGAAGAAAAACTGGGATGACACACCTTGGAGCCCTAAAGGTAGCTGACTTTAATATACTATCAAAGCAGAGTGTTTTTTTTATTTTTGTGGTGGTTAATCATCAGTAAACAACTTATGTTTACAGCAAGAGTGATGCCCACTCTTCCTAAACAAGAGCGACCTGCCAGGGAGGGAGCGAGAGTTGCCTCTGTAGAAACAGGCCTCGCTGCAGCAGCTGCAAAGTTAGCTCAACAGGTTAGTGGGGAATGAAAACAAATTTGTTTACAATTGATAATGTGGAGTACGGAAAATGAAGTTGTTTTTCCCCCCCTTTGTGATTCTGATTCAGGAGCAGCAAAAGCCTGCTAAAAGGAAGTACACCAAAAAGCAGCGTCCTGCTCCTGTTGCCAGTCCTCCCCCTGTTCACAATGAGCCCGCCCCCCCCTCCCCAACACCTGCTCCTGAGTCTGCAGCAGATGTCAGTCCAGACAGGAGGATGGATTATTACTCTGCTAGTCTATTAGACCATGAATACACAGCAGGACCAGGACCTTTTGGCCCTGGAGGACCCAGGGGGACTGGAGCCATGGCTCCTGGTGTGTTCCTCACTTCGCGGAGACCTTCAGTGTCACCCCAGAACAGCAGCTCTCATTTTGGTGCGTCCCCTGCAAGTTTAGCCAGCCAAGGAATTACTGGAATTGGTCAAGGTAGGCACAAAGTGTGAAAGGGCACAGGCATTTGACGTTTTAGACAGCTTTGATGCATTTTTCCTTTTTCTCTTCCCTATCTTTAGGCAAACGCCCAAAGAAAGGTCTTGCAACTGCAAAACAGAGACTTGGGAAAATTCTGAAAATACACCGCAATGGCAAACTTCTATTGTGAGAAATGTTAATATGTTTGAAGACATTAAGAATGAAGAAAAGGCCTATGTATGATCTAGGTCTGAAGGAAAGAGAATTATATTTTCTACTTTTGTTTCAGTTCTTTGTTGTTTTCACTTATGATCTAATTCATAGTGATCATATCTTGTCTTTTACCACTTCTCTGCCAGACTGCCTTTAGCCACATCTGCATTAAGGCACATCTGTCTGTGACTTTAAGGAAATCACTTTGAAAGTGTTCTATTTACACCTCAAGTCTGGGTTTATTTTTCAAAATAACGTTTGATTTTGATATCTGATCATTTGCAAATCAGTATACATTTTATTTAGCTAAATTAAACAGACATTTAAGCTTCTTTAAAATGTTTTATTTAGGAAAAGAAATTGCACTGTCCATTATACAGTTTTCTAAGGGAAAGTTTGCATAGTGTGTGTCTCAAAACATAGTGTACTATTGTTTTAGCAGCCTGTTTACCCTGGTTATTTACAAAAAATCATAGTTTTTATAATGGGTGTTATTAGAAGATACCATATCATCATTCCTTGACATCATTGTATTTATTATTTACTTATTTATTTACCAAGGCAGATTTTCTGTTTCCCTAGCCTGTTTTTATGTAGCATCTTCATGATCTGTACTTCGATTACTTTACCCAGCCTTTACAAAAACATCCCTTTCTATGTTTTTCTACATAAAACATTTTTTTGTCATTGTAAATATTTGTATTATTTGTAATTTATATAGCTACTTTGAAAAAGCAGAAAACATGAAATGATGAGAATAATTTCCTGCATGTTGCCATTCAGTTTGGCAGCTTTATTGGGTCACGTGTAGAAATGTGTTTTCTTATTACCGAATGTACTAGTCATCACAGGTTGGAAGTGTAGATTCAAAGAGGATTGTGAGGGTGCAGGAAATTAATTATTATGTAAATAAGTTTTTTTTTGTAGTTCAAAAACTTTTAAATCTTTGGTAACTTGTACATGATACATTGCTGTACTTAGAAGACATGATAGTTCTTTTTTATATTTGTATTCACTAACTGTCATACAATGTTCATGTTGTCTTGTTAGTGTAATATTGTAAGTATGCTGGAATAATTGCCCTTGATAAATGTCATCCATTTAGTTTTATATTGTTTATATTATTAATTTTGTTTTGTTTTAGTGAATGTTTGTCTTTAAACGTGATGTGTTTAATTATACCATTTTTAAAGATAAAATTTACTTTGGGCAAATTAATTTTTTATGGAATTTATTTTCAGATTATCAAAAGAAGGAAGAAATTTGAGGGCAAAATTCTTTTGTGTTCATTAAACGTCTGTCTACTGGAAATTTTTTTCCTAACATTTGGGGGTGAAAGAAAAGTAGGATTAGGTATTTTCTGGTATACACAATGGATATTTTGTTGTAATAAACACACCTGTAGGCGAACACGTTTCTTTAAAGTGTTTATTTTATCTGGGGACAAGATGGTACATTTTAACATTATCTATTGACAGATTTACGTGATTTAGATGGTACATGTGGCAAATACAGTATAGCTTCAGTGAGAAACTGGAGGATAAATAAAACCTTTAAAAAAATTCTTTAATATTGTGACCTTCACTTACACAACACTACCTGGGCTTCAGAGTAATTCATTTTGGCATTCATTATGTTTTACAAGTCATCATTCTAAATTCTATTATTTAATTTCCCTAAAAGAATGGGCCGAGTTAAGACGTTTGGTAATTAAAATGTACCTTTTTTACTAGATATTTTTTCATAAAGTTTTGACATTTATGTTGTCTTTTGGTGTGTACATAAAAGCAAAGATCTGAGACCTAAAAAGCCTGTAAGTGATCTAAGTCTTATCGAAATGAAAACAAGTTTGTCATTCCATAAAAATGTCAGAGGGTGCTCCTGTTAAACGCCAACAGTCCGAAATCTCGCGAGATCTGAACTACCGTACCACATTCTAGTGCAAGATGGAGAAGTAGATGTTAAACGCATTCGAGGTAAGCAGAAAGACTTATTCTGTACTATCAATATTTGTTACAGCTATCTGGTGGCACACTTTTTTCCGTTTTGCTCTAAACGTATTTAATAATGATCGCTCGCCAATTGCCCCGAGGCAACTAACCAGTCGTTTTTAAAGGGTAAAGTATGGATCTTCTGCTGTGTAAACCGCCATTTTTCGCGGATGGAGCATTGTGCGCAGCTTCCAGTGCTAGCTAGCTAGCTCACTCAAAGCCCTGGTACATAAACGCCGCACAAATACGCTGTTCACTGGGTATAGGTATTTATGCCTCTTTACAATTCTAAGTGGATAGCCATAACGTCGCTTGATAATACCCACTCCCTCGAGCAAAGAAGACAACTGAAAAGAGTTACAATGTATGTCAGGTAGGAAACTTGACTTGTCGCGATTTGCTAACGTTAGCCATAAGCGCTGAAGCCGAAATAGTCTTGTACCTAACCAATAACTTTGCTAACGTTTGCGAAAACCACAATTGAAACTGCGTATGAAACTACCCCAAATTAATAGTTTATTTTATGCAGTCACACCCAGCAAAGCAAACTCCGAGTCCAATCGGTTTCTCATCCCAATGACTGTTCACAAACTTGGCAGTATTTTCTCGAGTCTGACTGATTCTATCTCGTTTTTGTTTTAAATCCATCACAGGATTTCTCTTACTAGGTAACTAATATGTTCACAAACTATTTTAGAGCAAAAAGTGATAGCAGGACATGCTAAACTGTCATTGTAGCAAAATTCACAAAGCCACAGACTTATTTACACTTGTTTAGTTGCTTGTGAAAGTAAATATCTGATTCATTTGTAACCTGACAGTAAGTCGGAACATTCGACCATGTCTTTATTTCAGTGACCTTACATGTTTCTGTAAATTCACCCCTTAGCCATTCATCTTAAAGATTCTAAAAGGGCAGCAGATGATGCAAATATTTAAACCTTGAAGCTTTAGGAATATGATGGTTGTCACACCTTTCAGCTAATGTAAAGGATTATAAAGTAGAAACTGACAATTAATAGTTGTGGGATAAAAAAAACTCATGTGCAATGGTTTTTAAATTTCTGCAATGAAATTTCAACAATTGGGTTGGAATTAATTCGAAAGGAGACAAAAGTATGAATCTACCCTGTCAACCTTTGCTAATTTGACTATTCATGTTTGACGTTTATATTCCATCTGTCTACTTTAAATGTAATATGTGGCATCAGTGGAACTTGGATGATGCAGTTTTGGCTTACTTGTTTGGACTCCTCTGTCATTATTGTCATCATTGGGGGCAGCAGTAGCTCAACAGGTTGAGCGGGTTGCCCAGTAATCGGAAGGTTGCAGGTTCGATCCCGGCTCTGCTGTTGTGTACTTGGCCCAAATCCTTGGGCAAGACACTTAACCCACCTTTCCTGCTGGTAATGGTCGGAGGGACCGGTGGCGCCTGTGCTCGGCAGCCTCGCCTCTGTCAGTGCGCCCCAGGGCAGCTGTGGCTACATCGTAGCTCATCACCATCAGTGTGTGAATGTGTTTGTGAATGGATGAATACTACACTGTAGTGTAAAGCGCTTTGGAGTCCTTACTCTGAGAGGCGCTATACAAGTGCGGGTCATTTATCATTAATCAGGCAGAGCACTGTTGGAATGTAGTGAAGTGTGGGATTTGCAACTGGAATTCGTATTCTTGAAATTTGTTTCATGTGTGATGGTTTGTGTAAAATTTGTACAAAATTGTCAAATATATTGTTGGTATTTTTTGTGATTACAAGAAACACTGTCTCTTTGATTAGACTTTTATTGCTGTCTACAGTCTAGGACCTTTAACACAAATACTGTTCTAAAATAAACATCTCCCATTGTCAAAAAGGCTTTTTAACTACATAGCTTATGTTTAAGCAGTGGTGTTGTGCTGCTAATTAAGACACATTACTGATTCTAATTATTCATAAACATAAAGATCAACTTTTAGGATGATAAAATTAAAAAACAAGTTGACACAATCTGATATCGTTTCAATTAAAACTTCAAAGGAATTATTACAGTGTTAAAATATGTGTATGGTAATACATCATTTAGTTTTGATCTCTGAATATTAATGTGGGAAATATTGCCAAAGTATGTCAAACAATATGTTATTTCTCAGCCCTAATATGAAGGTAGGATCTATTTTAGTAGACCATTTTTATTTAACAAATCTTACCTAACAGTGTATGCTTGGCTAAATTAGTCTATAAACACTTCCTAAGCTAATTGGGTTGACAATTGCATTGTGGGTAGTATTTCTTGTACTCGTTAGCCTTTTAATTTGTAAATGTGTTTTGTGTAAATTTTGTTACAACTAATTTATTTTTTATTTTTTACAGATTATTTTGAGAAACTGCAACACAAACTAATGGGATAATGGTGGTGCTGTTAAACCAAAGCATTTTCTGGTATGTACCTTTTAACATCTTTTTGTTGTTATGACCTGGATAAAACACATTTTTGCAGAAGATATTTTTTCCATCATAGTCCATACCATAACAGTTCAATAACATTTAGTTATAAAATAGGTCATAAACCACACAAAAAATAAGTGATAATTTTCAGTAAGTTGGGTCTGGGTTGTCTGAATTGGTAAAACAGACTATTTTGATAGTCACAAACAATTACATCTGAGCTGTAAATGCATTTTAGAGTTGACATGTTTTGAAAATCAGTCAATTCATTTAATTGTTTATCATTGTAATAAGTGGTGATTAAATATTAATCAAAATGTGCAAATATCAGAATATCTCACAAGGAAAAGCTTGTCTATTTAGAAAGGATATAAGTCATCTTTTTCAGTTATCTGTTTTAGTGATGAAAGGCATTGGTGAACACAAGCAAACCAGAGGTTGTCACGGTAACCAGTGTAGCGGTAAACCCCGGTAAAAAAAGTTGACAATAATAATAACCGTCTTGTTTTAAAAAAAAAATTATCTCGGTGGATTACCGTGGCTGCGGTGTAGGTGCGGTGACCCTTACCAGCCACCGTATCAACTGCTGAAGTTGCCGGCAGCACATGCACACTTTGTTGTTTACAGCCAAAACTTTCTTGAAGCTAAAGCTGAAATAATGGCTAAAGGAGGAGACGGCAGCACTCAGGACATTTATTATCCCTCAAAGAAGACAATGTCGGAAGTAGGGGCATATTTTAGATATTTGAAGAATGCCAAGGGACAGTTGATAGAAGACGGCTATCCTGTTTGCAGCACGTGCAGAAAAAATGTCTGTGAAAGGCAGCAACACTTCAAATCTCATGACACATCTGCATGACCATCACCCACAACTCTACAGCCAACGCAAGGCAAGCTAACGTTAGCTAAAATGCGTGATCCGAGGATTTGGGTTGAGGAAGAATGCAACGAGTCGCTATATAAAGCAGCCGCAGCGCCTGCTACCTGCATCGCGGACACCCCCATATTGAAATGACGCTATGCATTACGGGGCTCCCAGGAGCAGATAAGAGTTGGTCTCTCTCCGAGAATAATTATGAATTTAACAATGATTACTGCCTGATGACATTTTCCCAAATCTGCAAAGCTCACTGGAAGAACACAAACTGAGGACAATATTTTCCTGATATACAGGATTTATTTAGTTGTCTGAAAATGTTAAACGTTTAAAAAAATACCGCGATAATACTGAAAACCTTTGATCATTTTGGTCACAATAATTGTGAGGTCAAATTTTCACACCGTGACAAAACTTAAGTGGAACAAAAATAAATAGCATTAAAACAAATGTCCCCGCTATCTAACACACAACTCACTGTGCTTAGCTTAGCCTACAGAGAGCTTGCTGCTCAGACCTATTCATGGGTCTGTTCCTTGTAAAGTCTTTAGATAGAACATTGTGATTATTTCACCTAAAAAAAAAGAGAATTTACATTTGCCGTCAGATTTGTCACTGGGACATAAATAATCCAATATTGTGTATTTACTACGGATAAAGCATTTTTGACGAGTACGAGCATGAAACGAGTAAAACTCGTATATATCTGTAATTGTGCTGAAGGAAAATCCTCATTGGGTAACTGACTGTCTTCGCTCTGTGATTGGCCAGTCAAATAGAGCACCCGCCCCTCCCTACACACAAAACTCTGCAGCCGGGAGCTCACAGCTCAGTCCACGTCCGTCCATCCACGCACACACACAAACAGTAACGGATCTCTCTGTGCTTGCTCACGTTTCTTCAGCACTCCCTATGTTTTCTTCAGTTCACCTCTTTTTAAAGTTACTTTAAAGTTATTTAAAGTTACTTTTTCGTAACGCACGTGGTGCATTTGACAAGATAGAGCTGAAAACTGCTTGTGCTGCGTCAGTCACTGCCTCCGCTCCGGTCGGGTTTCCCCCCCCCCCCTCTCTCTCTCCTCCCTTAGGATCCACTCCCTCTTTCCTATTCACTCTCTCTCTTTCTTTACATTTTTAATCACAATTGTCTATTTTTTGCTCATTTTAAATATATTTTAATCATTTTCTAAATTCTTTTTTATATTTTACATGTTTTGGTTTTGTGAAGCGCCCTGTGATTTTTATCTTGAGAGGCGCTATAGAAAAGACCTTTTCTTCTCTCTCTCTCTCTCTCTCTCTCTCTCTCTCTTAATTCATGCACTTAAATATTAATGTTCTGATTTGATTGAAAAACTTGTTCTGTAATAGTTCCTTTACTATTGTGATCAAAAACATTTAATTTCAACTCTGAGGCTGCTCTGTAAATAGTTTTCAAATAAACAATACACATAGCAACTTCTGATCAGACTTAAAATAATGTATTGATGTAAACAACACCCACTTCGGTTAAACTACACCCACTTCCGAGTTAGGCCACGCCCACTCCGAGTACAGATACAGATCATTTAGATAGTTGAACAGATACAGATAGTGGTGTACTCGCTCATCCCTAGTATTTACATCTATCTCGAAGGTAAGTGTGCCATTTTCGCAATAAGAAAAAGACAACAGGTAGCTTCTGCTTCAGGTTTGTGTTTAGTTTCTCATCTCATTGGTTCTTCCACCACTTGAATGCAGTCAGCTATAAAGCTCCGCCTGCACCACATGAAATCAGAGCTGATTCAAGCAGTATTCATGTTTATTATTGAACACAGTACACAACTTAAATGCAGCTTCAAATCAATTGTTCAAATGCTGCAAATACATTAACCATTTGCATTAGGAGTATTATGAATGATCCTGAAAATGTTAAACAGGGACGTTCAGAGAAAGTGTCTGAAAATTCTGCTTTACATCATCAGGTAGCAATTTGTTGGAAAGTTAAAAAAAGCTGTTGCATCCATTGAAGTGGTTGGTTTTGGTTTTGCACACATAAATATAACTAAATAATTAGTCATATTTATACACATGTCAGATGCTTAGTCTGGTTTACTAGGATTTGTGTACCTGTGCCTGTGTGCTTCAGTTTGAAATAATGGACCATTCATATATATGGTATACTTACATATAACAGGGTATTTCCTGCATTCAAATTTGCATGGCGGCCGCCTCCAGCTAATTTTGTGCTGCCCCAGCCTGATTTCACTCTGCCCCCAGCTATATGGGTTATTTTAACTGCAGTTGCAGCGTTGCGCCACTATAGGGGCAGTGCACCGAAAAGCACTAAAACTGCTGCAGAAAAAGATCAAATGTTGCTTTTCTCGCTAGTTGGTACATATCTGCGGTTGGTGCTTTTGATGTCCTGATTTTCCCCAAGGCTCTTCCATATCCGAGCAGGGCTGTACAGTGCAACGAAAAAAACAGTCTGTGCGTGTCGGTCTATTTTTAAACGTAGCACTGGTGCAACATCTTTGAATTTCTATTTTCCCCAGAACTTTATTGAACAAAAGTAAGTTAGGTGTAAGAAAAATGCTTTTTACTGGCGCACAGTGTGGTAATCTGGATGCAGTGGAGGAAAATACAGGAACCAGCAAAGGCAGAACCGGTCCAAAGTTTGGGATCAAAAGTGCAGCTACACGCAGATTGGCTAATGCTAAAGCTAACGGGTAGCAGTCTCACAATCAAGTGGCGCATAAAAATATATATATGATGATCGTAAAACAAAGAAAGACTAAACTCTACAAGCGGATGAACCACCATCCTGTTTATTCTGCATCCTGCAGCGCTATGGATCAGAACCGCTGCACACAAAAGCAGGAAGTTCGGCAAGCCGTTGTAGTATATAATTCACAAACTCTTCTATCTTTGAACATAATTTGAACTGCATTATTGCCAACCCATACAAAATAGACATGCCACCATTTCAGTGATAGCAGCAGAAATTAAACGTTATTACCATTTCCAATACAAATGCATGTTAATGAAATGCATTATATTTTACTGGATATATTTGTGTTATTTTGACTAAGATGAGTGTTAATAATTTAAACCTAAAATGTTACTGAAATGTAGGTCAAAATTAAAAAACAATTTTTAACTATAAATATCAGATGGGAAAAGGGGAACTAAACACCAATCTAATGCATATAATTGAGCCTTTTATAATATTTTGCCTTAAAAAAAGTGGGGCAGTTGAATGCACAGAGTATGCATGTGCTGGCGCATGGTCAGGATGGTACCACCTCTGCCTCAATTTGAGCCAGGAAAAACCCTGTATAATTAGGAGATTTTTCAAAGCTGCACACAAGTTGTCATTCAGTAGCATGTTTATTACATGTGAAATACAAATTAACTGCAGAGTTTCCTGGTTATGGAGCCTACTGGGATTGATTATGAGAGTTAATGATTGCAGTGCCATATTTATTTTTATTTTAATCTTTAGTTGCCAGTTTAAGTGATTGGCTTTTGTATAATATTTGTATGCATTGAAACAAACAGCAGTGGCTACTCATTCCCAGTAGCGTTACCGTTATTCACTTTTTGCACACTACCTGGAGTCATGACTGTGCCAACAGCTAATGGCTATGAACTATGGAAACGGGCGCAGATATAGTAATACGCAGAGGGATGGACGCACTTCATATTTGACTTTGGTACCCGCTTGTCAATTTGCTCGATCGAAAATTAAAAACAAACTCGCGGTGTCACGTTAGACCAGTCCGACGACGATTCAGCGAGTTATTTAGCGTTTCGGCTGGTTGCTCAGCCCGCTAGCTAGCCCGTGCCCTGTCATTAGCTGCTGTTAAATAGGGAGGAAAAACGCATTTTTTACAAGTAATCTTATCATTTCAGGTATTTTACTCGGACGTGTCTAACTGTTGCTACTCACGATGCGTTGTGCACGTATTTGTTTCTTGTTTCGAAGCTTAAACATGATTAGTAACTAGTGGTTTTTTTTAGGCCTCAGCAACCCCGACCTAAATTGGTGAAGAATCCTGTTGAAGCAGGATGGTGAATCTGGGAGATCCTTATTTGACAGCTGTAGCACAAATGATCTGAATAACAACGCATTTTAGTTTTGGTTGGATATATTTTCTTTGTTGGTTTTTAACAAGTGAAACATGTTTGTGACTTGGTTGGCTTTTTGTAAGTCGAACTTAGTAGGCATTTCTAGGATGTTTCGTTTCATGGTAACACCGGTAGCTCAGTGCTAGCTGCTCAGGGGGCAACATCTCCGTAGCAAACGATCGATTGATCTCTACGTTAAACTTACCAGCGTCTTTAGTTTATTTGGAGGTATAACAAGCTGGTTAAACGATGATTTTTTGTCGATTTTGACTAACACCTTTGAGTCAACGTCTCAATAATGACTACTTGATGAGTAAATAACGTGCTAAGATGTTAGCTTGTTAGCGAGGTAGCTATAACTTTGATCAATGTCGTGGCGGAGAGTTCACGGTGTCTAAGCAGATGGTTACTTATCGTATTGTTTGTGTTGGATTTGACGCTGTCTTCAAATTATTAGACAAAGATTTTGGTCAAAAATGTGGCCCAACAACCTAATTTGATTAACTTTGTGTCGCATAATGTTCACTAGCTTCTCGCTAATGCTGTGCTTCAGTCTGCTTTGTGATGATCAGACATCTCGGTAAACTAAGCACATATACCATTATAATCTGCTTTGACTGATGCTTGTGATAAGTACTTCATTTGTCAACATTCAGTAAAGATGGTGATGTTTTATTGTTTTATATTATTTACCAAGTGCTTCATAAAATAGTGAAACAAATAGGTATCCGTATTTTAATTTGTTGCAACACTGCATTATGTATCCTACTTTAAAATAAACTTCAATTAATGATACTTAAGCTTGATTTACAAAAATGAACAAGCATGTCTTATCTAGTTTGTATTGTGGTTGAAAGGACATCTGTTGTTTTTCAGGTAAAGTGACTGGAACATGCTGTAAACTCAGTATTGCCAAATACACTTCTGTAAGTATAAGTTACTTTTAAGCCAATACTTTGTTTCTCATACATTAAATATCATTATTAAATTTAAAATTTTAACCTACATTAAACCCGAAAGTAAGTGTGTTGTATTACAGCTGCATTATGTTTTGTCTGATGTTCAATTTTCATTAGGGGAACAGAAGACCGATTATCTACAATGAAGGTTGACAGAAGCAAGTTAAAGAAAACGCCAACAGAAGCAGTAAGCCATCTATTTTTTTTCTTTTCTTTAAGGTTTACTCTCATTAGTATTAGGGATGCACCGATCAGGTTTTTTGCTGCCGATCACCGATACCGATATCAAAGAATGCTGATCACCGATACCGATCACCGATACCGATCACGTGGATTGGCCAGAAATTTTCTACAACATTATAATGAGTGCTACAAACTACATAATCTGGGAATAAAGGAAATGTAACCTAATCTAAAATGGTCCGTATTAGGGTTGTCACGGTGTGAAAATTTAACCTCACGGTTATTGTGACCAAAATTACCACGGTTTTCGGTATTATCGCGGTATTTTTTTTAAACATGCTACATTTTCACACAATTAAATAAACCCTGTATGTCAGGAAATATTGTCCTCAGTTTGTGTCTAAATTTTGCCTAAAATGTGTTATTTTGTAATTAAGTTGTTTATTTGTTTACATTTTTCCCCTTTAGTCTTTAAAATACCAATATTTGCCCATAACTTCTTATTTTATGTCTGTTTGATGTCATCATTTAAAAATATTAGATCAGATGATACTTAGTACTCAAGTAGCCTTCTAATCAGATACTTTTTTACCCTTACTTGAGTAATAAACCCTATATCAGGAAAATATTGTCCTCGGTTTGTGTCCTTCCAGTGAGCTTTGCAGATGTGGGAAAATGTCATCAGGCAGTAATCATTGTTAAATTCATAATTATTCTCGGAGAGAGACCAACTCTTATCTGCCCCTGGGAGCCCCGTAATGCATAGCGTCATTTCAACATGGGGTGTCCTCGACACGGTATATATGCAGGTAGCGGCGCTGCGGCTGCTTTATATAGCGACTCGTTGCGTTCTCCCTCAACCCAAATCCTCGGATCACGCATTTTAGCTAAAACGCTAATGTTAGCTTGCCTTGCGTTGACTGCAGAGTTGTGGGTGATGGTCATGCAGATGTGTCATGAGATAAGAAGCGTTGCTGCCTTTCACAGACACTTTTTCTGCTCGTGCTGCAAACAGGATAGCCGTCTTCTATAAACTCCCTCGGCATTCTTCAAATATCTAAAATATGCCCGTACTTCCGACATTGTCTTCTTTGAGGGATAATAAATGTCCTCCTGAGCGCTGCCGTCTCCTCCTTTGACCATTATTTCAGCTTTAGCTTCAAGAAAGTTTTGTTGTAAACAAAGCGTGTATGTGCTGCCGGCAAGTTCTGCAGATGATACGGTGGCTGGTAAGGGTCACCGCGCCTACACCGCAGCCACAGTAAACCCACCAAGATAATATAGTTTTTTAAAAACAAGACGGTTATTATTGTCAACTTTTTTTTTTTTTTTACCGGGGTTTAGCGCTACACTGGTTACCGTGACAACCCTACCTGATCGGTTTGCTTTGATCTATTTTGAAAATTCCGATCAAAACCGATAGGGGCGCTATCGGCCGATTACGATCAAATGCCGATCCATCGGTGCATCCCTAATTAGTATCTGTTTTTAGTTGGAACACCTTGTTTGATTTATCACTGGTTAAATTGGGTTAAGGGCTAACATTTATTGTCAAAAGTGCTGCGTATTAAAGTTTGAAATTGGCTTAGAACACAGAATAATCTAAGGAGGTGTTTTATAACCATTACTTGCTTTTTTATTTTACAATTTCTTATTTTTTTTTTTCCATATATGGTAGAAGCAAGAAAAACAATAATTGCTAAGCCAGGTGCTTAGCTGTGTGTTATTTTTTGCACATAGTGTAAAAAATGATAACTAAACTGGGAGTGGCGTAACAAATCAGGTTTTTACATCAGTGACTGTTTAGTTTTCTGAGAATACATCAGAGATTTTAGGTCCCTCTCCTCTGAGCTAATGTTAATGTTTGTCCGCTAGAACTACTGGTTGGCTAGTCGGCTGTGATGAAATCATTTTGAGTTGGGGAACAGATCTCTCCAAACCTGACCTGGCTCTTCAATTTTTAGAATGATCTTTAAACATTTTGTGTTCATAGCCACATATCACAGTCTTGTTAAAAGTATTATGTGATTTATGGTGTAGAATGTTTTTGTTGTTCTAAAGAAATATACATTAGGGGTGTAATGGTTCGGGGGGGTCAAATCGTTTTGGATCGACCTGTTCGGTTTGGTCCAGTTGCGTACCGTTGCAGTTCATTTTCTATTAAATTATGAATTTTTATTTGCGTGACTTAAGAGCAGCGGATAAAAGTTCCTGGGCGAGTTTCTGCATGGACGCTGTATTTAGTGACTCATGATGGCTGCCTGTGCCTGATCTCTGTTTAAAAAATGTGATCTGCAAATCCTGATCAACGCCTTTTAGATGGATAAAACCAGCTGGCAGTTGCTGCTACTGGAGCCTGTAGAGACGCTAAACGCAGTGTCACCCCTCCCTCCCTTCTCTCACACAGTGGCAAAAATGTAAACAAACACGTCTGCTGAATTTTCCCCGTGACAATTGATGTAAAGTTTTCATCTTACACCGAAAAATATGGCGTGCCGGAAGCTTGTTATTTAATACGAGTTTTAGAGAAGAAACTCTAAGCAGTATGAGGTGAGTTTTTAAGGCTCGCTGCAGAAATGAAAACAGGAAGCATCAAGTCAAACACAACACTTGTCTGTATGAGCGTGACACTCATAGCTGCACTAAGAACTTGTGAAATAAACACATCATGCTAGATCTGCAGCCTGTGATGACACCTGGTTCTGCTCACTATAGGAGCCGCTTCAGATATTAAAGAAATATAATAATATACCGAAAATTAATCGAACTTAACTCTTTAAAACACTGAACTGAACCGAATACGATTTTAGCGTACCATTACACCTCTAATATGCATGGTTTATGAACATTGAAAAACATTTGTGCTTCTTCTGAACCAACAGCCAGCAGACTGCAGGATACTTATAGAGAAGCTCAAAGCGTGCAACGATGAACAACTCTTGGTTGAACTGCAGCACATCAAGACCTGGAACATTGGGAAGGTAAGACGCAGAGAAAAGGTTAATGGAGAAAGACATTCTTCAGTTGTTTCTGGGGCACATAATTTTTAACGGTCACTTAGTAGTTCTCTTTGCATTAGAGAAATAAAAGTTTGCACCTGATAAAATTGTTTCATTAAAGGTGCAGAGTAGAACAGCAACTATTGATTTTTATTAATATTAAAATGCTGTATAAACACTCATAGTACGGACTTAAAACTGAAACTTTTTTATGAATTATTAATCCATCCATCCTTTGTCTGAACCCGCTTAATCCACGAAGGGTTGCGGGGTGGGGGGCGGCTGGTGCCTATCTCCAGCGGTCAATGGGCAATCAGGCGGGGTACACCCTGGACAGAGAGCCAGTCCATCGCAGGGCAACACGGAGACACAAAGGACAAACAATCATGCACACACACACACCTAGGGACAATTTAGACAGACCTATTAACCTAACAGTCATGTTTTTGGACTGTGGGAGGAAGCCGGAGTACCCGGAGAGAGCCCATGCATGCACAGGGAGAACATGCAAACTCCATGCAGAAAGATCCCAGGCTGGGAAGCGAACCCAGGACCTTCTTGCTGCTAGGCAATAGCTCTAACCACTGCGCCACTGCATCATTAATAATGATGCTGAATGTATTTTTAGACAGTTAATTTCAATGCATGTTTATATTTTGTGTCTCGTCAGGGTAGAGTCTATAGACCTTTTTAACTCATTCACTGCCAGCTGTTTCCTGATTGGTAAAGCCCTTCGCTGCCAGCATTTCTCACCGTTTTTACTGGGGTTTTTTTTTAAGAGTCGCAGAACGTTGCGCACTTGGATGATGTCAACGCCAAAACTACCAAAACAAAGCGGAGACTCACCTCTTACATAAGGAAGAATTTCGAGCGTTATCCGTTCTTTCATAATACGTTGTCGAATTGTGATCGGCAGAAGCTTTTTTGGTTCGCGTCTCACTTTTCTTTTCTTTTTTTCAGCAAAGGCCCAAAACAATCTTTTAACACATGGATTTTCTGCTTCCCGGTCACGTGACATACGTGGATGAAGATCGGCTTTAGAGCTGAGATGTTTGTTCTCACGGTGCAGGGACTCGTTCCGATGCCCACATAGTAAAAAAAAAATTCTGATGCCCACATAGTAAAAAAAAAAAAATGCTAATGATGACCAAAGTCGCATTGCATTGGCATTGGCAGTGAACGGTTGGATTTAAAACAACAACTTTAGTCATCAATGGCAGTGAATGAGTTAAAGAGTCTTTGTTATATTGTTGGTGGAAATTGATCATTGTTTTAAAGCTAGTCATCCCCTTTAGGTCATTTACACAAACCAACAGAAGCAACTCAGAGCTTTGTTGTATTTAGACAGCTGGATAACATTATTGTCAGTGTTCTACTGCACCAGCTTTCCCTGACACACAGGCAGTTTGGGCCTGCTCTTTGTTGCTGGCATAGAATTAAAACAGCAGCATGTCAACTTTGACCTGTGTACACAAATGTAGCAGTTGTGTACAGAGGCACATCGGCCCAAACTTACCGTGGGCTGTGGGGAAAGGGTTTGGAATGCTTTACCTGTCACTTTTTTGTCCTCCCAACAGTGTGAGCTTTACCATTGGGTGGACCTGCTGGATCGCTTTGATGGCATTTTGTGTGATGCCGGCCAGACAGTGGAGAATATGTCATGGCTGCTAGTGTGTGACCGTCCAGACAATGGACAACTCAAAGCCTTGCTTTTGGCAGTGCTCAACTTCACAGCGCTGCTCATTGAATATAGCTTCTCCAGGCATCTCTACAGCTCCATAGAGGTGTGCTAATGCACTCTGAATTATTGTTTCTTATGTTTATTTTTGTCATAAAGGAAAAACAAGGTTCTTTAACTAGTCCCCTCTATTATTTTCTACTCTTTCACATCTACAGCACTTAACCAACTTGCTGGCATCATGCGACATGCAAGTGGTCCTTTCTGTGCTGAATCTACTCTACGTGTTCAGTAAACGCTCCAACTACATCACTAGACTTGGATCTGATAAAAGAACACCTCTTCTGGCACGTCTACAACACCTGGCTGAGGTTTGATGGATCCTTCTCTTTTCTCATTGCTATGATTCCAACTGTTTCTGAAAAGAAGGTGGTGCATTGTCTGGTCTTTCCTGTTTCCATCTGCAGAGCTGGGGAGGAAAGGAGAATGGCTTTGGTCTGGCTGAATGCTGCAGGGATCTGCCCATGTCGGTAAGAATCTAAAGGAGTTATTTAAAATAATGCAGTGGGACTTTTTATTTTTCTTTGATGTGATTGTCAAATGACATTTAATGAATGATCTCTACTGTGTGGCCCTTTGTTGTTTCATGAGCAGAAGTATCCTCCCAGTGCCACCACACTGCACTTTGAGTTTTACGCCGAACCAGGCCCAGAGGTCAAAGTTGAAAAGAAGGTAAAGGCCAATACATTTAATTTAGCCAACATTACAAAAATCCAGTGATTCTGTTATGTTTTTGTGTTCAAATGCCTCCTAATCCATTTTCCTTTTTATCCAGCAGACTAGTAGTAACACACTACACTATATTCACATCGAGCAGCTTGACAAGGTAAAGTCTAAAGCAGAAAGGGGTTTGTTCCATAAAGAAACAATACAGCATGATATTCCTTTTATTTATGTTGCATTTTGTCTTTATAGATTTCAGAAAGTCCATCAGAAATCATGGAGTCGCTGACAGCAATGTACAACATCCCTAAGGACAAACAGACCTTACTGTTCACTCACATTCGACTGGCCCATGGTTTCTCAAATCACAAGAAGAGGTTGCAAGCTGTGCAGGCAAGACTGCATGCCATCTCTATACTGGGTGAGTTAAATTTTCTTTCATTTATAAGAACAAACATAAAAAACTGCCCAAGATTTACCCAAAATTGTTTGTTTATTTTCAGTGTATTCAAATGCTCTGCAAGAGTCAGCCAACAGTATTCTGTATAATGGCTTGATAGAAGAGCTGGTGGATGTCTTACAGATAACAGACAAACAGCTTGTGGTGAGAAAGTATTAATATTTTGCTAGCTCAGGCATCCTATGTATAAAATGGAAAAAGAGGCAACATTTTTGTCATTTCTTTGATGTCAGTAGAGCAGCAATAACAAAAACTTTCTCCAGTTCTTTATTTGATTGCTTTTTTTTTTAACTCCATTTTTTGCTTAAATTTGTTTTCAGGATATCAAGGCCGCATCTTTGCGCACTTTAACGTCAATTGTTCATTTGGAGAGGACACCCAAGCTTTCCAACATAATTGACTGCACTGGCACGGCGTCCTATCATGGTTTCTTGCCTGTATTGGTGCGCAACTGTATACAAGCAATGATTGGTGAGAACTGGCTACATACGGACATTTTTTAACAGTACCAGTAAATTAAAAGTATTTTTTTATTTCTTAGATCCTTTGATGGAACCCTACCCACACCAGTTTGCCACAGCACTCTTCTCATTCCTGTACCACCTGGCTAGCTATGACGCTGGAGGAGAGGCTCTCGTCTCTTGTGGCATGATGGAAGCCCTCCTGAAAGTAAATCCAGCTATTTTGAACCTTTAATCCTAATGTATTATTGATCGACTCAATACAAACCCATTTTCTTCTTTTATAGGTCATCAAGTTTTTAGGCGATGAGCAGGACCAGATCACCTTTGTGACCCGAGCAGTGCGGGTTGTGGACCTTATCACCAATCTGGACATGGCTGCCTTTCAGTCTCACAGCGGCCTTTCCATTTTCATCTGCAGGCTAGAAGTGAGTTCTGCCGTTTTGTTTTTCCATCAAAGCTAAAGCTGCTCTTAGTAATTGAGTCATTTAATTTTTTTATTACTCACTATTTTTACATAGCATGAGGTGGACTTGTCAAGGAAAGAGTGTCCCTTTGTCATCAAGCCAAAGATCCAGAGGCCTAGCTCAGCTGTGGAGTCTGAAGACATGGACACAGACATGGAGAGTAAGTTAAAACATGAAAGGTTCTTAGCTCTCAGCAGTTAACATACTTGCACTTAAATCAAAGTACCTGAACTCAGAAGGTTTAAGCTGAATGAACAGTGACAGGCCTTGAATTGATATATATCTCAGGACAATAGCTTAACTAACTGATCACATACTTACTCTGTTATTAGTTCACCCGTCATCTGATGGCTCCCTGCACCATAATAATTAGCCTTGTATCAAAGCAGTCATAGTTAAGTGGTTTCATAAGCGTGACATAAAGATCTGTGTTCTTTACTGACATCTCCATTCTTAAAATCTAAATCTAGTACTACTTTGTGGAAAAAGTTCTTGTATAAACATCATCTGACTCATCTGCCATAAGGACAGTTTTCTATGTATTAATTATTTTATTTGTCAAGGCTGACTCTTGGGTTCTCTGCTCTTAAGTATTGTTGCTAAATTTAAAGACTTCAAATTTAAACTTTAGAGAGTTATTTTGTTGATTTGCTATAACACATGAATTTTCAGTGTCTGAAGTTGCCATGGAAAGCAGCCCTGGACCATCAACGTCTTCTGGTTCCAGACCAGAGGTAGATCAACGAGCACAGAGCAGCTCTGCTAATATGCCTCGTGCAGGTATGCTTTACACAAGTACACACAAAAAGCAGAAAAAAGGCAAGAAAATCTCTTGTCAAAGCTTAACTTTTTCATCACTATGAAAATGTTTCTGTAGGTGTGCAGTGTATCCCCCAGAGGGCAGCTCTGTTGAAGTCAATGCTAAACTTCCTGAAGAAGGCCATCCAGGATCCTGCATTTTCTGATGGCATCCGCCACGGTAAGTTATGGACAATTAACTCCCTTGTTTCACTGGTGAAAGATAATTTTACAGTTTTTTTATTTTTTTATTCAGCGAACATTTTCAGAAAGATTTTTATACCATATGTGTTTTACCCATTCCTTCTTTTGTTTCTCAAGTGATGGATGGATCCTTGCCTACCTCACTTAAGCACATCATCAGTAATGCGGAATATTATGGCCCCTCCCTGTTCTTGTTAGGTGAGTACTTGGTATCAATTAGAAAATTACCTTCAGAGTTCAGAGATGCAAGCTCAGCATCACTATAATGCACATCAACAACAAAATGTTGTATTGATACTGTTGACTGCTATTTAAATGTAATAATTTTAATATTTTTGCCATCATTCTTGATAACAACTTGTAATTTTCTTTTGTCTTTCAGCGACGGAGGTGGTGACAGTGTTTGTGTTCCAGGAGCCATCCCTGCTCTCCTCTCTGCAGGACAATGGGCTGACTGATGTCATGTTGCACGCCCTTCTTATCAAAGATGTGAGTTTCCAGTTGTTTTCCTTATTTCATCAGCTTTCAGTCTATAATTTTAATGAAAACTTATTTTCTTAAATGTAAACTGAACAGAACTTGTTTGGACAAGTTTCAGAATACCGCAAATTCAAAATGACTTCAGATGTTTAAAAACAATGACATGAAAAGCTGGAATCCCAATTAGTCCTGTTCAGTGAAGCACTTTCCTACAAATAAAAGGCTAAACATGAGTCTTTAAATCACATTGTGTTTCAGGTTCCTGCTACCCGTGAGGTGTTGGGTTCTCTCCCAAATGTGTTCAGCGCTCTCTGCCTGAATGCCAGAGGTCTACACTCTTTTGTTCAGTGTCAGCCTTTTGAGCGCCTCTTCAAAGTGCTTTTGTCCCCTGACTATCTGCCTGCCATGCGCCGCCGCCGCAGCTCTGACCCTTTAGGTGATTGTTTAGGCTTTTTCACCTGTTCTGTTGTGGAGATGCTTAGATAGATAACGTGTTGCATTTTCTGCTATAGGCGACACTGCATCTAACTTGGGCAGTGCTGTCGATGAGCTCATGAGGCACCAGCCCACTTTGAAGACGGATGCCACTACTGCCATTATTAAGGTAGTAAATGTTTGCTCTGTTCTGGTTTGTTTACCTTTTGCTGATTTATTAAAACTAAATGACTGTTTCAGTTACTGGAGGAGATCTGCAACTTGGGTCGAGCTCCAGAGTACATCTGCCAGAAGCCATCTATCCAGAAAGCAGATGGCACGGTGGCTGTGCCGCCAGCACGCTCCAGTCATGCTGCTGAAGAAGCTTCCAGTGAGGATGAGGAGGAAGAGGAGGCCCTCCACACATTCACCCAGCAGCAGGGAGAACCAGAGAGCAACAGGCAGTCAGTTCCACTTGAACTGTATGACTGAGTTCACAACACAATAGAACAGAACAGCATCTCTTTTCAGATTTTTATTTGTTTTAACGTCAGCTGACTGTCTTTTTCATACTGGTTTTAACAGTTGACATTTTAACAAGACAGTTGTTTTTGCAGGGTGGTGGGCACCGAGGAGAGAATACCCATTCCTCTAATGGATTATATACTGAACGTGGTGAGTGTTGAAGAATCAATATTGTTGGGATTCTTTTATCAATGCAGAATTAATGTTTAATTTTTTTTGTTAATGATGATGTAGCTTCTCCAATGTGAACTATTCCAGTATATCTCAGCATTCAGCACATTTGTCAGTTATTAATTAGCTCTGCTCATGTTTCTCAGATGAAGTTTGTGGAATCCATCTTGAGCAACAACACCACAGATGATCATTGTCAGGAGTTTGTTAACCAGAAAGGTCTGCTGCCTTTGGTCTCTATTCTGGGCCTTCCCAACTTGCCCATCGACTTTCCTACATCAGCAGCCTGTCAAGCTGTGGCCGGTGTGTGCAAGTCCATCTTGGTGAGGAAAAACAATGTCTGTTTATTTTTTCTTTTATTTTTAATTAGAAACTATTTTTTTATCGTATACCTTTTTTGAGCCTTCATATCCGTTTTCTTCTGATTTCTCTCTTATAGACGCTCTCGCATGAGCCTAAAGTTCTTCAGGAAGGCCTGTGCCAATTGGACAGTATCCTGACGTCCCTGGAACCACTTCATCGACCAATTGAGATGCCTGGTGGGTCTGTGCTTCTCAGAGAGCTGGCCAATGCGGGCCATGTCACAGACGCCACTCTGTCAGCCCGAGCCACGCCACTCCTACATGCTCTGACTGCAGCCCACGCGTACATTCTCATGTTTGTCCATACTTGCAGAGTTGGACAGGTAAGTATAACTTATTTTTGTTTGGTTTTGTTTGACACTTATTAGTTATTTTTCTCAGAATAATGCTATTGTTTATTATATAATAAATGTAATTTTTTTTTCCACTGGATTTTCAGTCCTAAATTCCAGAAATCCTATTTTGAACTTTTACCTGAAGTACTGCAATGACTATATACATTTAGATGTATTTTCTGACTTTCAGTCTTACTGCAGTGCTTAAAAAGCCAGTCGTTTTTTGTTGTAGATGTAATAGTGTAATGTGCAATTTTCTGTTTCTTAATGTTTGTCTCTGGAAACTAAATCTTTTTTTTTTTATATATATATATATTTTATTCTCAACAACGGTAAAATTATTCACGCCTTGAATACACACAGAAACACTTTTAGTTGTAAGTTTTGGGCATTTTTCCCCAGACGCCTTTGTATTATGATCTTTGACTGTGTCTTCTTTTTCTAACAGAGTGAGATCAGAGCCATCTCAGTAAACCAATGGGGCTCCCAGCTGGGCCTGAGTGTTCTGAACAAGCTCAGTCAACTCTATTGTTCTTTGGTATGGGAAAGCACAGTGCTGCTGTCGCTTTGCACTCCCAACAGGTAGGTGCCTTTTTTAAAACCTTTCCTTCATAAACTGGCTGTGTGTAACTTGGCATGTGTCACCTGTGTCCAACAGTCTTCCTCCTGGATGTGAATTTGGCCAGTCTGATATGCAGAAACTTGTGCCCAAAGAGGAAAAACCAACAGGCAGTGCTGCAACAAACACAGCCTCTGGATCCAAAAGAAATGGTAGCAAACCCATTTCATCTAGTTTGTGTATTGCTGTTGTGTTTTAAAAAAAAAAAACTTGATTAAACCTTTCTTTTCTACTAAATTTGACAGAAACTGACACGGTGTCTGTGGATTCATCTGCTGGTGGTCTGCTGGAAGGCATGTGTCTGGATGGGGATGCCTTGGCTCCTATGGAGACAGATGAACCTTCAGCATCCGACCCAAAGACAAAGTCCAAACTCACCCCAGCTATGGCCACTCGTATCAAACAAATTAAACCTCTACTCTCAGGTGAGATCAGTCTCATACACGTTATTTTATAATAGTTATGCATTTAACATAAAGCTAACGTTTCTAACTGAGTTTCTTTGTTTTGTAGCCTCATCTAGGTTAGGTAGAGCTTTGGCTGAGCTCTTTGGCCTGTTAGTAAAATTGTGTGTAGGTTCCCCCGTACGCCAACGCCGCTCCCATCATGCCACAAGCACAGGGACCACCCCTACACCTGCTGCACGAGCCACTGCCTCTGCTCTTACCAAGCTTCTCACCAAAGGTCTAAGTTGGCAGCCCCCACCATACACACCCACACCACGGTTTAGGTAAGATGAGACTTCTTCTGTTATGTAAATACAATTTATCTGGTGAGAGATTTTAAATGTTTTAAATTTTTTTTGTGGCAGGCTAACGTTCTTCATCTGCTCAGTGGGCTTTACATCTCCCATGCTGTTTGATGAGAGAAAATATCCCTACCACCTCATGCTGCAGAAGTTCTTTTGCTCTGGGGGACATGATGCATTGTTTGAGTAAGCTCTGTCATACACCATAAAATGACACTGCTCTTTAAGAATCAATCCATATCTAAATTAACAGTTTTATTTCACCTCCCTCTCTCACCTCTGATTGTTTTCTGCATCAGAATTCAAATGTTCTCTTAGTGGTTTTTATTGCGTTACTTGCTTTTGTGCAGGACGTTTAACTGGGCCCTGTCAATGGGTGGGAAAGTACCTGTGTCTGAGGGCTTGGAGCACACAGATCTCCCTGATGGGACAGGAGAGTTTCTGGATGCCTGGCTAATGCTGGTGGAGAAGATGGTTAACCCGAGCACTGTGCTGGACTCGCCCCACTCCCTGCCTGCTAAAATGCCAGGGATCACACCCACCATGCCCCAGTTCAGTGCCCTTCGGTTCCTCATTGTCACCCAGAAGGTCAGTGTTTGCAAAGATGGATGTTTTAAACAAGTTAATTCCATCATTAATAGTCATGATATTAATGGGATTCACATAAATGAATAATAGCATAAAATGTTATTATTTACTTTCATTTATCATTATTGTAACCCAGTTTTCTTTTTAATTAAGGCTGCATTCAGCTGCATCCGCAGCCTATGGAATAGAAAGCCACTGAAGGTGTATGGAGGCAGGATGGCTGAATCCATGCTGGCCATCTTGTGCCACATACTCAGAGGGGAGCCTGTTATTCAGGAGCGGCTGGTTAAGGAGAGAGAGGGGACGGCACGCCCTGATGAGGAAGGGACAGCCTCCAGTTCTTTGGGACCCACTGTGGCTCCAGGAGCATCTACAACAAGTGGAGAGATGACTGGTACAGGAACTGGATCCACCGCAGGGCCAGCCGCAGGATCAGCTGAAGAGTCTACCAACTCCACACCTCGCCATGAGCCTCAGGTCAACCAGGCTCAGCTCACTCAGGTACTGGCCCTATCATCACTCTCACCTGAGTTACTTGGATCAAAGTTATTTCTTCTTTAGCACACAGTCTGCCATAGCACCCTTTAGTAACCCAGAAACAACTTTTGAGTTTTTATGAAAAAGCATTTTGGTTTTTGCCATCGTGTTTCTCTTTGCATGCCAGTTTAGTCCTTGTGGACAGTTCCTAAGCTTCATATGACTACTATAGGTAGATCTGCCAGCCCAGGTCAGTCACATCTAGGTGGCCATGTCAGCAAATGACTAAAACGGATTTTGTATTAACGTCTCCCTCCCTCACTTTCTGCATGCACTCAACCATGGGCCACTGTTTGTTTTATGACAGGAAGCAGGCAGAGGGAGAGAGGCACACGCACAGGTCCGGCAGCAGCAGTTTCAGCAGGTATAAGAGTCATCAGTGACAGGAGAAATTAATGAAGTAGAAAGGAAGCATTTAAAAGGTGGAGCTAAGAGAGGGAACTGATTTGGGAAAACTACAATTTTAATGAACTTAGGACCAGATTATTCAGTTGATGCAGATTTTTTTTAATGTAACAGGTTTTGTTGTGAAGTGTGTGTAGAGGCCTCTCACCCATGGAAAATAAGTGAAGTGTTTTTCTGATCCTTCATAATGATAGCTGATGTCTTTCACTGTCCCCCATCTTTTTTTGATTTTAAAATTTTATAACCCCTCCCCCTACACACATCCCTTTGGTTTATGACCTATTTTATTTGCACTTTTGTGAAAAAGCACTTTTTTGTGGGCTTTTAGCTGATGGATATGGGATTCTCAAGAGAACACGCCATGGAGGCCCTACTCAACACCAGCACTATGGAGCAGGCAACCGAGTACCTTCTCACACATCCACCTCCCCTTCTTGGTGGAGCAGTACGGGTAAGTTATGTGTATCAGTACATTCAATTAATTTAATAATTCTGCAGTTTTAAATGGTCAAACGCAGCTAATGTTGCTCCTGTTCCATCAAGGATTTGACCATGTCAGAGGAGGACCAGATGATGAGGGCCATTGCCATGTCACTTGGGCAGGAAATCAGCATGGAGCAACGCTCCGACTCTCCAGAGGTTCAAATTTTTTTCTTAAATTACATAAAAACAGTGTGTCTTAGTTAAAGTGAATAATTTGACTTAACAGCTGTTGGGTTCATTGTTGTTTGCTTCAGGAAGCAGCACGCCGGCGTGAGGAGGAGGATAGAAGAGCAAGGGAGCGGGCAGAAGAGGAGGAGGCGCGCTGTTTGGAACGTTTTATGGAAGCTGAGCCCCTGGACCCCCAGGAACTTCACACCTTCACTGACTCCATGCTGCCTGGCTGCTTCCATCTCCTAGATGAGCTGCCCGACACGGTCTACCGACTCTGTGACCTGCTGATGACTGCCATCAAGAGGAGCGGCCCGGAGTACAGAGACCTCATCCTCGGACAAGTTGTCCACCAGGTCAGTGAATAAATTCTCATTAATATTTTAAAAAACTATTAAGTGGAACATTTGGGGATTTCAGGACTCTTGTTGAAGTTTAGTTCATTCCCATTTAATACTTTTTATTCAGTCAAGTAGATTGATGTTTTAACCAGGGGTGGAAATTAGCACCTGCCACCGGCCAAATACGGGTAAGTTCATGTAGTGGCGAGTTAACTGACAACGCACACGCCATAGTGGCAGGTCTCAAATATGAAGATAAAGCAGCGTTGTTTATACAGCTGACCTGACGGGGGCAGCAACGCGTCCGTGTTGCCGTTAGTCTGCCATTCTCATTAAAAGAACTGATCAGCAACATTAGCAACGTAGCTAATCTTGCTGTTCAGCAGGTGGCAGAAAATAAAAATTATTCTTAAGAGGAGTCAAAAAATGAACCGAATGTTAAACTGTGGTTTTAATGAGAAACTGAAGAGAACTGACAACGACGAGTTACGCGAGTGACTCGGTCTGAATAAAAGCAGCGCTGGTTCTGTGTTACGAGCAGAGAGCATCGGGCACGAGCTTGTAACGAGCATGCGCCTCTCGGGCAGTGGGGGAAACACAGAGCAGGGGCCTGCTTCATTTACAGCTGAAAGAGCCATTTCACCACCTCTCTTTATATTTTGTAACAAGCCACAGAATTAACTTGACCCTTTGGAGGTTATGTTCCAATGTGATGATGGTTTAATAATAAGAAGAGCTGGACAAAAAAAAAAAAAAATGAATCGACTATAATTTTCCTTACAAGAGAATTACACTTTATTTAGGATTATACAGAGCTATATCAGTTTATCTCCTATTAGTTGAAAGCGAGTTAAATAAACCACACTTGGAGATGAAGTGTTAAAGTTTCTTATAAAAACAGTCATAATGCTTTAGGTTGTTAGTAATGTGTTAAAAATCTGCAACAAGGTACTAGTATTTTCCTGTACGATACTACTATAGTGTCACTACATGTTATAACATTTAGTCAGATAATAATAAACATGTTAATTAACTCAATCTTAAGCCACATAGTGTTCAGTAATTTAGCTGTTGCAATTAAAGTTCTTACAGTTCATATGAAAATCAGATGACATGTAATCTTTTTTTTTTCCTTCATTGTGGATTAGATGAAAAGAAGGGAATAAACTGATGTGAATAGGAAGCAGCCAGAGTGTTTATGAAGTACAAAGCTGAAGTTAAGAGAATCTCCCTCAGAGCAGAGGTAGAAGCCGGTAGCCAAGGCAAATGTTTCACGTAAAAAATGTGGCTAGTACAAATTTTAATTTCCACCCCTGGTTTTAACCTTAGAACTCTCATTTTCAAAAGCTTCAGCTGTGACTTTGAAGTCAGGTGGGCCCTGTGGTATTTTCAAAATAAATACATTCATATTAAATTCTCAGTTTAACTGGAATCAAAATCTTCCTTTTTTCAGCATCTTTTCCATATTGCTGTAAAAAAATTTAACCAACTTTAAATGTTCCCCATTTAGCCAGCCTGACTTTGTGTGTGTGTGTGTGTGTGTGTGTGCGTGTGCGTGTGCGTGTGCGCGCGCGCGTGTGTGCAGGTGTGGGAGGCTGCAGATGTGCTGATCAAGGCTGCTGAGCCCCTTACCACCAGTGACACAAAGACTGTGTCTGAGTGGACCAGACAGATGGCAACGCTGCCCCAGGCGTCTAAGCTGGCAACACGAATTCTGCTGCTCACGTTGCTCTTTGAGGTGCCAGAATTAAAGGTTTTAGCCCATAAAATGTTTATTCATGAAGGGTTAATTTACTTTTGTCAGTGGTTATCTTTGCACGTCATACAATCCATTTATTTATCTAGGAATTGAAACTCCTGGGTGCCAGAGTGGTGGAGAGCAGTGGGATTCTTGATTTGCTGATCAAACTCCTGGAAGTCGTTCAGCCGTGTCTGCAGGCAGCCAAAGAGCACAAAGACATTCAGACTCCAAAGTGAGTTTCATAGCTTTCTAGAACTATCAGAAGACCTGTAACACACACGCTAGGAACATTTGTTAAGCATTAAAATGTTTTGTTTTTCTACAGATGGATAACACCAGTGCTGTTGCTAATTGACTTTTACGAGAAGATGGCTGTCTCCTCAAAGAGAAGAGAACAAATGAACAAGGTAGAAACACTCGAGTTGGTTGATCTTTATGGAGTAGAAAACGGGAATGTCAGAGGGGGGCCAGGGACACTTCTACGGGGGTATTAGAGCTTCACTGATTATTCAGAACCTGCTTCGCATGGTGACTTTGAAAAACACACTTTTCTAATCTTATCTTAGGTTTAGTTCCCTTGTGTATGTGTTCCGTTCACTTGACTTCCTCTTATTTATGAATGAACTGGTGTATTAGTAGCAAGAAAACCCTTCTGGGTGCTGGCTGATTGAGAAATGGATAGAGTGCAAGATTGGTTTTAAAATGCAACCATTGCTTTAACACGTTTTTGTTGTTTGAATAAAGTGTTTATATGTAGACCCTACACAATAAAGTTTAAGATGTTCTTTTCTCTGTTCTTAGTATTTGCAGCCTAATGGAAACAACTGGCGATGGTTTGATGATCGCTCAGGGCGTTGGTGCAGTTACAGCGCATCCAACAACAGCACCATTGACTCTGCATGGAGGGCTGGGGAGAGCAGCGTCCGCTTCACGGCTGGACGACGGAGATACACTGTGCAATTTAACACAATGGTGCAGGTATATGCAGTCATTTCTGTTTTTGTGCATGATTTATGGTTTATTGCTGTTCCTGTTATTTGCTGGTTCCCTCTTGCTTATCTGGAAAACTGTATCCACTAGGTAAATGAAGAGACTGGTAACAGAAGGCCAGTGATGTTGACTGTCCAGAAAGTGCCTCGCATTACCAAGCCTTCCAAGACTGGTAATGTAACTGACTCTGAGAGAGAGGAGGGAGACAAGAGCAAAGTGGAAGAAAACCAAACTGATTTAGATTCCGGGGTGACGGTGGAGATGAGTGCATCTAAGGATGATTCTAACCAGCTAAAAGAAACCACTTCCTGCCCCTCAACCTCCCTGGAGTCTGACTACTCTCAGGGTTCTGACATTGTTGTCAAAGGCCTGACTGATGACATGACCACTGTTTTAATCCGGGCTTGTGTCAGTATGATTAGTGTTCCTGTGGACCCCGACACTCTTCATGCCACACTTCGTCTCTGCTTGCGCCTTACTCGCAACCACCACTATGCAATGATGTTTGCTGAGCTGAAGAGCACACGGATGATTCTGGGACTGACGCAGAGCTCTGGATTCAATGGCTTCACCCCACTTGTGACTTTGCTCTTCAGACACATCATAGAAGATCCAGCCACTCTACGACACACCATGGAGAAGGTTAGCATATGCCCATACTTCTTATATGATATGAACAACTGAACATATACTTATTTATGGTTCCAATTTCTTCTGTGACAGAGTTGTTAACTGGTTTGTTCTTGTGAGTTCCAAAATCCTAATCCTTATGTTGCCAAAAGGTGGTGAGGTCGGCCGTGACAAGTGGAGCAGGTAGCACTACTTCAGGAGTGGTATCAGGCAGCCTTGGTTCAAGAGAAATCAATTACATCCTCCGTGTCCTGGGCCCTGCTGCATGTCGTAACCCCGAGTGCTTCATTGAAACGGCCAGCAACTGTATTCGCATTGCTCTGCCTGTGCCCCGTGGAGCTGGCACCAGTAAGTATTGCCAACACACCATATAGGAGAGATGACTTAGATGACATGTTTTTAGGCTGTAAAGTAGTTGTTATTGCCAATGCTTCAAAACAGATTTGTTTAGTGAGTCATGTTTTAAACCTGAATGGTTATTTATCTGCAGCCTCTGATGATGAGTTTGAGAACCTTCGAATTAAGGGGCCAAATGCTGTGCAACTTGTGAAGACCACTCCTTTGAAACTGTCTCCCCTACCGTCCATCCCCGACACCATCAAAGATGTCATCTATGACATGCTCAATGCTTTGGCTGCATACCATGCCCCTGAAGAACGTGAGTTCTTTAATAAAAACCTCACTGCTGTTATAACATTATTAAATCCTCTGAGGATTTCTGACATGGATACATTTTTGTGCTGCAGCTGAGCGTTCAGAAGAGCGAGCTGCAGTTCCTGGTAGTCAAGACCTGTGCCAGATCCTGCAGGATGTCGGTGATGATGTTTACCAGCAGTACCGACTGACTAGACAGGGAAGCGACTTTGACTCCCAGCCAGCATTCCATATCAATGTAAGTGCCAATGTCGGTTCATTCTGTATGACTCAAATGTCTGTGTTTCTGTGTATGTATTAAGGCTGCTCAATTAGTCTAATTTGAATCCCAATTACGATCTGAGTTTTAAACTATTATAAGAACCAAACAAGCTGATTATTTGCTCCTCCCTCTTCCGCTGCTCCAAGTTGCAAATCAAGCGCTCCTCCTACAGTGCTGCCAACTTGGCGACTTTGTCGATATTTCCAACAGCTTTTCAGACCCCGTTCCTGACTCTTTAAATCTTAAAAGTACCAAGTGATCAACCCAGAAACATTTCTGGTAACCCTTAGCTACTTTCTGGATAACTCGTCGGTATTTCCTGCATGTTAGCAAAACAGTCCGCCTTCGCAATTTTGTATATATATATTTTCCGTCAATGATGAGGTTGTCTGTTCCATTCCAGGCCCAAGTGTTTGCTGCTGATGGAGGTGTGGCGGAGTCCTCTCAATCTGGCACACCACAAGGGGAAGGTAAGTGTTTTAAATGGGAAACTAAATTAAAACATTGTGAACATTTGCTTGTGAAAACAGGACATTTTATTTTAATCAGCTTTTAAAAACCTGCTTTCATCATCTTGATATGAGGTATGTCAAAGTAACGCAGCCTGTGAACCTGAGGGATGTTTGTTGGTGTACTTACCAAACATATTTTTTACACACTATATATAAATGATAGGATTTTAAAATCAGTTCTACTTTTCTTAGGCAGCCACTGAATACCAGCTTATACACATTATTTCTGAGCTGTGTGTGCATGTTGTTGAAGCTAAGAATGTTATCTAGATCATATTTATTTATTTATTACAATCTTCTTGAAGCTTGAGGGTTCATCTTTTAATAATATCTTATTTTGCTTTGAAATCTTCTTCAGCCTCCACACCAGAAGAGATGAGAGAGGAGAAAAAAGAACAAGAGGGAGAGAAGGGTTCTAGCTCAGATGAGAGTAAAGCAGCTAAGGTCAAGGCAAGCAAGCCTCTAATGCCTACTTCTACCATCTTGAGACTACTGGCTGAACTGGTGCGCTCCTATGTGGGCATTGCCACGCTAATTGCCTCCTATTTCTACACCGCGGGACAGTCTGAGCTTATTAAAGAGGTGGGTTGGTTAACAGGATGTTGCCATCTTCTCATGTCAGTAAAATGTGTGATTTTTGTAAATGCCATTCTTTTCCATTTTACAGGACTGCAGTGTTCTGGCTTTTGTGCTCGACCACTTGCTGCCTCACACTCAGAATTCAGAGGACAAGGACACGCCAGCCCTGGCACGTCTCTTCCTAGCCAGTCTGGCAGCTGCCGGCACAGGCACTGATGCCCAGGTGGCCCTGGTGAATGAGGTGAAGGCTGCTCTTAGTCGAGCATTAGCAATGGCGGAAGGTGCTGAAAAACATGCAAGGTAAATAGTGCTGTAAAACTGATCCTATAGCCTGACCTTTAAAAAATCGTTTGTTATTCTTGTTCTAATTTAATTCATGTTGGGGTTTTTGTTTATTTCACAGGCTTCAGGCAGTGATGTGCATTATCAGCACCATTATGGAGTCGTGTCCCTCCACATCCACTTTCTACAGCACAGCGGCAGCAAAGACTCAGCATAACGGCATGAACAATATCATAAGACTCTTTCTCAAGAAAGGATTGGTCAATGACTTGGCCCGTGTTCCTCACAGCCTAGATTTGTCCAGGTAAATAAATAACACACACAAATTATCTTATTCTACTTTGTTTACAACTATCTAAATAGTAAATGTTTTAGCCTGTCTTTGTTAGTATTGCATTTATAGTTCTTCCATGAGCACACCAACAAACCAAGCTTTGATGAATTTCTGTAATTTCCTGGCTGATGAATGGTTAGCAGTTAGTAACCAGGGTACTACTTGTGTGAATATTGGTTTTTTTTTTTATTTCAAGCTCAGAATTCAAATATTTCAATTTGTCCTTTCTTTAGTCCTAACATGGCCAACACTGTGAACGCTGCTCTGAAGCCTCTGGAAACTTTGTCACGCATTGTTAACCAGCCCAGCAGCCTTTTTGGAGGCAAAGGAGGCTCCACCAAGAGCAAGACGGAGCACGACACTGTGGGCACTGCCAGGGATAGCAACAGCAACACACAGGACCAAGGTACCCACACAAGACTAATTAGATCCTTTACCACTCAACTGGTTTTTCTACATATGCTTGTTTCTGATGAGTGGCATCTATCCCAGGAGAATCTGGAGAAACCGAACCAGTGGATGGCAGTCACAGAGTCCAGGGAACAGACAGCGACCTCATGGATGGAGAAGCAGAGGGAGACACGGTGGTTATTGCTGGTCAGCCAGAGGTTCTCAGCACACAGGCTATGCAGGTGAGATATTAGTGCATCATTAAAAAATCACTCCAGTGGTTTCTCATCTCTGACATTTCCAGTTGAAAGTGAATAATTCTGTAAAGAATGTCGTTCTTCTGTGGTTTCCTTTAGCTTGCTGGTTGCTTGAAGCTAATGCAGCATTTGTACTTGATTTCCTGTTTTTGTAGGTAGAGAATGAGTTGGTGGACCTGATTGATGAGCTGTTGGAGAGAGACACTGGATCAGTGAACAGCACAATTATAGGTAAACTCCATAAGTAGATTACAGTTTGGGTACATAAAAAAATACAGCTTTATTGTATTCTAACACCAAATCCCTGTAGGATAGGTGCTAACCTGAATTAATAAATGAGATTTTCTATATAGTGTTTATTAATGTTTTAATGATTTCTCTCAATGCAAATGACAGATCGCTTGTTGTCTGTTTTTTTTTCTCTTCTCAATAGTGGGACGTAGCGCTGAGGATGAATCTCAAGAGGATGTTTTGATGGATGAGGCTCCATCCAATATTAGTCAAGCTTCCACTCTTCAGGCCAATCGTGAAGGTATGAACATCAAGAGTGATGTTGATAGAAATACATTTTGTTTCTAATTTTATCAAACATCTAATAAAAAATAAATAAATAATACAGTAAAACTTAAGGATGCAAATTTAAAAGCTACCATCTAACAAATAGAAATTGTTACTTTTAATATATCTGTCAATAAAAAAACAGTTTTAAAATGTATTGATACATTTTCTAAAGACTTTTAATATATCCGTCAATAAAAAAACAATTTTAAAATGTATTGATACATTTTCTAAAGACAAAACACTTTAGTTATATTGTGGCTGGATTAATTAAGCTTGGAACCATGTGCCAAATTCTTCATCAGACTCCATGAACATTCTCGAACCAGAGGATGAAGAACACACACAAGAGGAAGACTCAAGTGGAAGCAATGATGATGAAGACAGCCAAGATGAAGAAGAGGAAGAGGAAGAAGAGGAAGAGGATCAGGTATGGATAAAGGCGAGAAGGTTAACTGAAGACGTTATTATCCTTAAGACTCATAACTGCTTTTTTCTCTGAAGGATGATGAAGGAGATGAGGATGATGATGACGAAGGATCAGAGATGGAGCTGGATGAAGATTTCCCTGACATAAACTCTGCACCACATATCCGCTTTGAAAGATTTGACAGGGATGATGACCTCATCATCGAGTTTGACAACATGTTCTCTAACAACAGTGAGCAGAATTAATATTAGTTTGACTTGAGACTAAATGAAGTGACACGAAATCTCCACCCTGCCCTTTCCATAAACATGTCCCCTAACCTCCTCCTGTTGTCTCCTGTTTTTGTCCACTAGCTGACATCCCATCTTCTCCAGGGAACATCCCTAGCTCCCACCCTCTGATGGTGCGCCATGCTGACCATGGGTCCCTCACTCTGGGTGTGACAGGCACTAGCAGCCGCCTGGCACAGGGCATGGGCCGCAGCCAGCGAACGCTGCGTCAGCTCACTGCAAACAGTGGACACACTATCCACGTCCACTACCCTCATAATCGCCAGCCCAACCCACCGCTCATTTTGCAAAGGTGAAACCAACAGATTTGGAGCTGTGTTAATAAATAATATTCAACCTCATCTTTTAATTTGGAAGTAACCGAAGCGCCTGCTCTGCCTTCTGCCCTTTCAGACTGCTGGGCCCCAGCGCTGCAGCAGATATCCTACAACTGTCCAGCTCTCTGCCTTTGCAGTCTCGTGGTCGGGCTCGGCTTTTGGTTGGAAACGAGGATGTGCATATCATCGCCCGTTCTGATGATGAGTTGTTGGATGACTTTTTCCATGAGCAGAGCAGCACTGGAGGACAAGCAGGTAGGCACTGCAATGAGCTGCTATCAGTGTAGTCCTTCTGGAAGTTATTCTGAAATATTAATGTTTGTTCTGTTTCTCAAGGCACCCTCTCCAGTATTCCAACTGCCTTAACTAGATGGACCGATGAGTGCAAGGTGCTGGATGCTGAGAGTATGCACGACTGCGTAGCAGGTAGATATATATATATATTTTTGCAAACAACTTAAAATTCTGTGTAAAGTAACGGGTAGTTGATCATTTAGTCTTTACAAACCTCATCACTAGACTTCCAATAAAGTTTTAACGGATGACTAATTAAAGCCATAAATTGTAGTTTCACGACTTGAGTTAAAACTAAACCAACATACTAATGTGTTGAACCTTGAAGCTGGAGCTCTTAGACAAAGATGGAAATTTGACACTTGTGTTTTGTTATTTAGTGGTGAAGGTGCCAATATTGCAGCATCTGGAGAGTCTAAGAGATGAGGAGCTGGAAGAACGCAGAGAGAAGCGGAGGCGGCAGCTGGCTGAGGAGGAGGAGTCTAAGCAGAATGAGAGGAGGGCTTCTGGAGCAGAAGTCAGAGAGCAGAGCCTGCAGGTGGGAAGAAAGAAGCTGGTTGTAGAACAGCACATTTTTTCATCGCTGATTAGTTCAGAGTATTTATAAGACTGTCCTGTCACCCTCCACACAACTTCAGGTTTAAATATCTAATACGACCAGTTGTGGACTGAAGTTTCAATAATAAAATAATGCTTCTCTGACTTTTTGTTGCAAAAGAAGCAAACCAGTTGGAAACATTTTAATGGTTCACTAAAAACTACTTTAAGTGAAACAACTGGGTGTAGAAGAAAAAGCTTTTTAGTAACATAAATATTAGTAACGTGCTGATGTTGTTTTTCAGGGTTCTGGATTAAGGACAGTTAATGGAACAGAAAACACTGCAGGTACTGAGATTAATTTCATTAACTTTTTTGTGTTGTTAAAATTCCTTTGTCTGTCTGGATTCAACATTTCTCTGGAGGGTATCTGGCGCCAAGCTGACTGATGCTGTGCGTGCTGTGGGATGAGGTAGTAGTTTGTATAGTTTTAGGATCACACCAGATCTGGGAGATAACTATACAGTCTACTGTCTTTCTTACGGCAGCGCCATACCAGCTCGACTTAATCACCTACATAGAAAGATATCAATCCTTTAACATTCAAATCTTTATTACATTTTTGTGCACAATGTTGCTTCATACATGCAGATAAGAAAAAAACTTGACCTACACATTGAAATGATCCTTTGTGTTCGTGGAGCTGTGGGTGGAATTTTGTGGGCATGATTTGCATCCCCTCATCTCCCTGGAGGGAAAGGTCACTTCAAGTCATTGTGAAGCTGTTTTAAGCTCTCTCCTTTATCCTGTGTTGAAACGAGTGTCTTCATATGATTGAGATGTCAAATGAGTTATTACGCGTTGGAGGAATGGTGTTTTGTCCCTCAGTTACAGGTTTAGAAACCACCTTCCTAAGGCTCTTACTGTTGAAGTTTCTTTAAGTTGTTGGTGATTAATGTTCTGCTGCAGCTTCCTTTGCTGTGGTGAGGTAGTAAGTTGTGTTGTTGGAGGGGAACAGGATTTATCACCCCAAACAGGAGATAACTATACAACTTACTGCCTTCCTCAGTGTAGGTCCATTGCATCTGTCTTGAAAAATATGAAAAGAACCACCAGACTTCTGTATGGTTTTGTATTCATATATTTAAAAATTATACATAATGTTTTAAAAATGGAGACCTGCATACGCATTTACACATCTGTTTTAAAGATGTTTTCTCACTGGATGTTACAGAGAGTGAGCAGACTCAGGATGGTACAATGTCATGTCTGGACACACCCAGAGTCTCAGAGGGCTTCCTCACTGCTCCCCCATCTGGAGAAGTGACTCCAACCACACCAGCTCCTCATGAACAAGCCCTAGTCTCCCTGGAGACTGCCATCAGTCAGCAGGTCCACCAACCAATTGCTGACCTGCTCCTGACTGAGTCTCATGCCAGCTCACTGGCTGCTCTGGCTAGTGCTGGCCTTCCGTCTTTGTCGGCCGCTGAGAGGCCAAACAGCGAGGCAGAAGCATCACAGATGGAAATGTCACCAGCACCAATAATTGGTGAGAGAGTTGAAGGGGGCATTAGTGGAGGAGCTTTGGATGAAGGCAGAGAAGGTAGACTAACTTAAAAAAAAAAAAAAACACACACAAACACACATTAAGTAGTGAAACGCAATATCTGATTGTTGTTTTATGAATCCTGTTAGTCATCGATCACCCTTGTTTTCTCTGCAGCCTCTCTGAGTCCAGACATCATAGAGAACTCTGAGCCTGCTGTGGTTGGGGTTTCACAGCTGGAGGGCTCACCAATGGATACCAGCAGCCCTGCCTCTGCTACTCAAGACGAAGCTGCTCCCAACCCTGCTCAGACCACGCAGCTGTCACAAGAGCTGTCTGGTAGTGGCGAGAGTGGGCTGACTGACAGGCAAACTGATGCAGAGACAGGGTGGGTATTAGCTCAAAGTATTTCCTGGTCAGGGGTTTCATAAATATGTATGTGCTACATTTATGGATATTTAAATGTTCTATTAAGTAAATTCTCCAACAGCTCCACATCTGTTTCCTCTCCTGGGGAAACGATGCCCAGAAGTGATAGTGCTGATAGCCAGTCCCAGGCCATCCAGGAGGAGCCCCTCCCATCCACAAGCAATGATGAGGAGGACCCACTTGCAGGTAAAATAGGTTGGTTAAGGGGGATTTTCTGATTGGGCAGTTCACTTTAAAAATATGTCTATGGTGTTTTAAATTTTGTGTGTGCAGGGATCAACCTGCCAGAGGGTGTAGACCCCTCCTTCTTAGCAGCCCTTCCAGAGGACATTCGTCGAGAAGTGCTGCAAAATCAGCTTGGCATTCGACCACCATCACGTCCTCCTGCTACCACAACCTTATCCTCCTCTAATGTACCTGTACTAGGAGGACCAGGGGTCACAGAGGTCAGCCCCGAGTTCCTGGCAGCACTGCCACCAGCCATCCAAGAAGAGGTGAGACAAATTAAAATGTTAAAGGTGCAGAAAGCATATTGTTTGAGATTTGATTTCCAACCAAATGAATAAATAAATCAATTGATAGGTCAATAAGTATGTAATTGGTTGTTTTAGGTTCTTGCACAACAACGAGCTGAGCAGCAGCGAAGGGAGCTAGCTCAGCAGCCTCCACAGGGAGACACCCCCTTGGATCCAGTCACCTTCATCCAGACACTGCCCTCAGAGCTCCGCCGGAGTGTTCTTGAGGACATGGAGGACAGTGTGTTGGCCGTCATGCCTCCTGACATTGCAGCAGAAGCGGCTGCGTTGCGTCGAGAGCAAGAAGCACGTCAGAGACAACTGATGCACGAGAGACTGTTTGGTCATAGCTCTTCTTCAGCCCTCTCAGCAATCTTGCGCTCACCAGCCTTCACCAGTCGGTTAGGAAGTAATCGTGGTGTCCAGTACACTCGGCTGGCAGTCCAAAGAGGAGGAACATTTCAAATGGGTGGGGGAACAAATCACAGGTAGGGAAAAGCAATAGTAGAATTCTATATTGTTTTATACAAATATGTAAATCTTACAATTCACCAACAAAAGTGATGTTTTGGATTCCTCAGACCATCCAGTTCAAACGTGGATTCTTTACTGCGTCTGCGTGGACGATTGCTGCTGGACCATGAGGCTTTGTCTTGTCTGCTGGTCCTGTTGTTTGTAGATGAACCAAAGCTCAACACTAGTCGTTTGCATCGCGTTCTCAGGAACCTCTGCTACCATTCTCAAACACGCGGGTGGGTCATTCGCAGCCTGCTGTCCATCCTCCAACGCAGCAGTGAGAGTGAGGTATGTCTGGAGACCTCACGCCTGGAAGATTCCCGTGGCAAGAGAAGCACCCAGGGAAGTTGTGGAGGAAAAGTTTCAGCCACCTCTTCCCTTGCCTCTTCATCTTCAGCCTCCTCATTAGAGCTCTTGAACAGGGTGGAGTCTCGTAGCTCCAGCCAGCTTTCCTGGCTCTCTGTTTCTATGGATGCAGCTTTGGGCTGCCGGACAAACATTTTCCAGATTCAGCGGGCATCGGGGAGGAAGCACGCTGACAGACATTCAGCTGGTGGCTCTACAGGAACCGCAACGCTGGGGGCAGGAGTGTCAGGCACTGCTACGGGGGTGACATGTGCTGGAGGTGGAGGCTCCACTGTTCACATCCACCCACAAGCTGCTCCAGTGGTCTGTCGACATGTGTTGGACACACTCATCCAGCTAGCAAAGGTGAGGATCTTTCTTTGTTCATTTACATATCTGTTTTATTGTCAAATGTGATTTTGGAAGCTTCAATATTTTGTTTTTGTTTGATCCTGCAGGTGTTTCCCAGCCACTTCACCCAACAACGATGCAAGGACTTGTTGGCTTCTGCTTCTGATCTGGATTCTCGACTGTCTTCAGGTCTCTCTGGGGTGGGGAGTGGAAGTGGGGGCTCTAGGTCAGGGGCTCAGTCTCAGAGCAATCCCAATGCCTCCAACACTCAGAACCCTCTGGGTTCCTCTACGCTTACCCCTCAGTCTCTAGGCATCTCCACAGATTTTTGGGACCTTCTTGTCAAGCTTGATAATATGAATGTCAGCCGCAAGGGCAAAGCCTCTATGAAAACGGTGCCTCTGGGTGGCGGTGCAGAGGCTGACGGAGCACAGTTCAGCTTGGAGAGTTCTCCTCTTGGCCAGCTGATGAACATGTTGTCTCATCCTGTAATCAGGCGGAGCTCCTTGCTCACAGAAAAGCTGCTGCGCCTGCTCTCCCTCATATCTATTGCCCTGCCTGACAACAAGGCTACTGAGGTACCTGCTGGACACCCAACCCCACAGGCTGCCATCCCGAACACCGCAAGCTCAGGAGCAACAGTTTCAATCACAACACAAGGAGTGACACCAGTGGGCTCCATCCAGCCCACTGTGGTCATCGCTGGAGTTCCTCTTGGAGCTGCAGCCCAGAGTACATCCTCAGGGACAAATCTTGCAATTTCGCAGGCATCCTCTACTACAATCACTATACCTACATCTACTGGATTGACCGCTACAGGTACTATTTAGCTGTGTATGAGTCAGTGGATCAAACGTATTACCCGCTACTTGCATAAAAAATTTTTTTCTATTTGTCAAACTAGGAAAACAGAGGGGCAGCATTGGCAATATAGAGCTAGACAAGATGGCCTCCACTGGACTCACTGAGAAACAACTTCAGCTTTCTGTGGAGGTATGAAAAATAATTTAGTTGTCACAAGAAGGTGGTTCTTTATTTTAATTTTACATGTTTGTAACTTTTTCTAAAAAAAAAACTTAAAACATTAAAGCTCTTTTTTTTCCTGAACAGAAGTATAGGTGTTACTGGACGCCCGTACATTTGGTAGCTGTTGGATCGTATTAGTCTACTAACCCTGTTCAGGTTTATTTTTCACAAATTTCTGCAGGTTTATTGATTCTCTGTCTCTCCCCCATCATTTTCTTGCAGGTATTGACATCTCACTCATGTTCAGAGGAGGGTCTGGAGGATGCTGCTAACATTCTGCTGCAGCTGTCTCGAGGAGACGGCATCACCAGAGACACGGTCCTCAGACTGCTGCTCAGTGGAGCTAGACATCTCGGATACACTCTTTGCAAGCAGATTGGTCAGTTTAGGGCAATTGCACAGGCTCTAGTTCTCATGACTTTCTTGTAAAAAGCACAGCATGTTCATAAAATTTAAACATATATATTTTTTTCCTTTCTCCTTCCAGGCACATTACTGGCTGAACTGAGAGAGTACAACTTGGAGCAGCAGAGGCAGGCTCAAACTGACTCTCATTCACCTGATGCACCACCTGACGAGTCCTCCTTATCAGCCAGGCTGAAGGGCAAAATGACCAGCAGGTTAGTATTTGATGCTTGTGCAAAGTCTGTTGGACTGTTCTAACTTGTGATATTAGCCATAGTGACTTGACAAAATGTAACAACATTTTGTCTTGTGTGTGACAGATTTGACGGCTCTGAGAGTGTGGTGATTGTGGCTGCACAGAAGCGCACGCTGGGGGGACGGGAGCTGCAGCTTCCTTGTATGAGCTCATTAACATCCAAAACATCGACGCAGAAGTTCTTCTTGCGAGTGCTGCAGGTCATAATCCAGTTACGTGAGGACACAAGACGTGCCAACAAAAAGGCTAAACAAACAGGAAGATTAGGTAAGAAGAGGCTAAAGATGAACAATCTTTCTGATCTGATCATTTTCATGAGTGATGAAAGCTTTTTTTCCTCTCTGTAATAAAAGGCTCCAGTAGTTTGGGTTCAGCCAGCAGCATCCAGGCTGCTGTGCGGCAGCTTGAGGCTGAGGCTGATGCCATCATTCAGATGGTGAGAGAGGGACAGCGTGCACGTCGGCTCCAACAAGCCCCCCCACCATCCGCTCCCACCGCCGCCGGGTCATCTGTGGCTGCTCCCCTTGCTCCCACTGGTGCTCCTCACCCTACTGGCACGGCTGCTGCTGCCACGGTTAGCATGGGCTGCACTGACAGCAGGCACACAGCTCACACACAGGGACAAAATATCTTAAATTAAAAAAAACAAATGGCAACACAGTTTGATATTTAGTTCAGTGTTTAATGAATAAGTGAATCCACTAACTTGCTTCGTATCTAATTTGACAGTAGCTGTTTGGGCTCCATGCTTCATGGAAACGAAGCTAACCCATTCATTTTAATGTTGATCATTGTTACCTCTGGTGCTTTATGTATTGTGATATCTTCTCTGCCGCCTCACAGAAAGCTACATGAGTGATTCATTGCATCGTGTTTGTATGTTTCTGTTGACTTGTTCTGTTTATAGTATGAAGTTTAGTACTGCCTGCTACACTGCTCATGTCTGTTTGTTGGCTGATGTGGCTTCATGCTTCTTCCCCCAGCTGCTTCCTTCAAAAGTAAACTGTCTCTACATCACAGGAATGTCATGTTGCATGGCAAGCTTAGTCTTGCTGCATTACCTCAAAAGTTACTCAGGGATGTTTTTCCTTTTATTGATCGTTTGTCTGGTTTGTTCTCTTTAGTCTGAAGTGCAGTCAGTACCAGAGGCCCAGTCAGCACAGAGAGACGAATCTCCCATGGACGTGGACCAACCGTCTCCTCTAATCCAGGACCCTACACCTCTGGGTATGACAAACATTTGTTTATGACATTTTCTAGGTGTCAAGAAGTGCACAATCATTTAGGGTTTTTGTTTTCTAGATAAAATTTAAAGTATATTTCTTTACATTTTGAGATCTGGTTATGGTCAACAGAAACGGCTGTAATGGCTAAGTTAAAGTCGATCTGACAGAAAATCCTTCATGTACCTGAATTTGAATGTTTTGTCTAGATGAGGAGGGAAACGGCCAGTCGGAGAGCGAAGAGAAGCTTCCAGACCTCCCCCTGCTCAGTGAGCAGCTGCTGTTGGATGAATTATGGGACATGCTTGGGGAGTGTCTGAAGGAGCTGGAGGAGTCCCACGACCAGCATGCTGTGCTGGGTAGGATCCTAAGAAATGGTTCTGTTTGTGTGTTATTGTCCTGCTTGTTCCGTAGTGTAACTCTGCTTTGGTTCTGCAGTGCTCCAGCCTGCTGTTGAAGCTTTCTTTTTAGTTCATGCCACGGAGCGAGAGAGCAAACCACCTGTGAGAGACACACGGGAGAGTCAGCTTTCTCACATCAAAGACGAGCCTCCACCTCTGTCCCCGGCGCCCCTAACACCTGCTACACCTTCGTCTCTAGACCCGTTCTTTTCCAGGGAGCCATCTTCTATGCATATATCATCAAATCTGCCACCAGACACCCAGAAATTTCTCCGGTTTGCAGGTGAGCCTGAAATAATTTAATGCTGATGGTAAAACTTTGTGCAGTTGCTAACGTGACTTGTTATCTTTTCAGAAACTCATCGCACTGTGCTCAATCAGATCCTGAGACAGTCGACCACTCATTTGGCTGATGGGCCTTTTGCGGTGCTGGTTGACTACATACGCATTCTGGACTTTGATGTTAAGAGGAAGTAAGGAGATCATTAGCACCTTTATCTTGTGCCACATTGTCCACATTTTTCTCTTTTAATGTTTTTCTTCTTTTCAGGTATTTCCGCCAGGAGTTGGAGCGTCTCGATGAAGGTCTGAGAAAAGAGGACATGGCCGTGCATGTGAGACGAGATCACGTGTTTGAGGATTCCTACAGGGAACTGCATCGCAAGAGCCCAGAAGACATGAAGAACAGGCTGTAAGGCTTTATTACTTCTGTTTTATCTTTCCGTTGAGACCTGCTCCCGCTGCATCACTCTGCTTCTGTTGCAGGTATATTGTGTTTGAAGGAGAGGAGGGTCAGGATGCTGGCGGCCTGCTGAGGGAGTGGTACATGATCATCTCACGAGAGATGTTCAACCCCATGTACGCTCTGTTCCGCACTTCTCCAGGTGACCGCGTCACCTACACCATCAACCCCTCATCTCACTGCAATCCCAACCACCTCAGCTACTTTAAGTTTGTGGGTCGTGTTGTTGCCAAGGCGGTCTACGATAACCGGCTACTGGAATGCTACTTCACCCGCAGCTTCTATAAACACATCTTGGGCAAGAGTGTCAGGTGCCTGAGCTACTAGATGTCACAGCATCATAATCTTAAGATTTAGACATTATTAATATTCTGAAAACAGTTAAGCGTCGTAATATGTGACTCTTATGCACTTTTTTGTGGCTTCTTCAGGTACACAGACATGGAAAGTGAGGACTACCCGTTCTTCCAGGGTTTGGTGTACCTGTTGGAGAATGATGTGTCCACTCTGGGCTATGAGCTGACATTCAGCACAGAGGTTTGTGTCTCTTAGATGCTCTGATTAAACTTTATAGTTTCCTGTTTATCAGTAGGAAAATATTTGGGTTTGATTTTAACAAATTTAAGAACCGCTTAGATTCTTAACTATTGATGACTCGTTGTTTTCAGGTCCAGGAGTTTGGTGTGTGTGAGGTTAGGGACCTGAAGCCAAATGGAGCCAACATACTGGTCACAGAGGAGAACAAGAAGGAGTACGTGCACCTGGTGTGCCAGATGAAGATGACAGGTGAGGCCTTTACAGTTATCTCACAGAAAAGGTTGGAGTTCATTTAGGATGTACACAAACATGAATTACAAATGTGTGTACTGACGCACAATTAGCTAATTAGTCAATTATCATCAAACGATCATTCGGCAGGAAGCCACTAGGTGGCAGCAGTCTGTTATTGTTGCACGTGTGACACAATTCCTGTGACTGTTTGGGGCGGGGGTTGTCTGTGAAACTTTGAATTTAGCCTAATCAGTTTGTATAATGAATGCTGTGATATAGGGCTGTAGCGAAGCCTCGACGAAGTCGACGGCTCGATTCTAAAAATTTGTCGACGTCAGATCCGGAAGTCGACGCACCGCGCCCACTTGTTGCATCCCCAGGAGTTTGTAAATAGAGGAGGAATCTGCCTGTTTTTCCTCTAGTTCGCTCTCTTCTCCGCCTTCACTAACATCTCCGCCAAATACCGAAGACCCGGAACAACGTCCGTCCACTACTAGATTATTTTCCTGTTTTGCCCGCCTTCGTCTCCCGGCAACGGACAACAACTTCCGGGGTCAGATGCGCTGCTTCGTGTCTATCGCAGATGTAGAAAATCACCGGGAGCGCTTCTCCCTTCATTAAGGAGCTTCTTTCAGACATGAGGAGAGCTGTTTTGGTGGTAGCAGTCTCTCCTCCGTGCTGGTCTGTTTGCTGCTGGGTGTTTTTGGTTTATTTAAACTTGGTAACTTGAACTTAACGTTGGTAAAGCTACTGTTAGCATCTTCGCTAACAGCTTCTTGCGTTGGGATAAGCTGTTACGTTTTGGTTTAGAGTTCATCTTTTTTGTGGTGTAGATCTCCCTTTTATTACATTTAGAGTGTTGTGGGTTTTCGGTTTAGTGTAAAATATCACCTGAGTTTGGTTTAACCCGTAAGACCACTCGCCTCACGCACATAAGTGACCAAAACAAAGCAGCATGGAGACACTCCATCTTCTACCACCTCTCAGGCAGCAGCCTGCACTCCCAAGTTCTACACGTCACCAGAACATAACCAACCGCAACACAATAAACGCAGTGTTATACAAAATGGAAGGCCTGTAGTGTTTATTCTCTTACAGTAAGAATTTATCAATTTTTTTGAGGAATTTATTTGAGATTTTCTGGTTTTTGTTAATTGTGCAATAGAAAAATAATCATTAGATTAATTTTCTAAATAGTCATTAGAATAGTCGACTATTCGATAAAATAATCGTCAGAATAATCGTTTTAAAAATAATCGTTTACCCCCAGCCCTACTGTGATAACATTGTTTGGCAAATAAAAAAAATATTCCCATGATTTGTTTTCTAGGTGCAATCCGTAAACAGCTGGCGGCTTTCCTTGAGGGATTCTATGAGATCATTCCCAAGAGACTGATCTCCATCTTCACTGAGCAGGAGCTGGAGCTGCTCATCTCTGGCCTGCCCACCATTGACATCGATGACTTGAAGGCTAACACTGAATATCATAAATATCAGTCTAGCTCCATCCAGGTATGTAGATGAGTAAACATGCCCCCAAGTACCAATGCATATGTAGATCTGTGTATTGGGAAACTAATGCTGCTAATGTCACCTTATTTCCCAGTTATCATTTACAGTTTGTAACTTTCTTTTGTGGCAGATTCAGTGGTTCTGGAGGGCCTTGCGGTCCTTTGATCAGGCTGACCGGGCTAAGTTCCTACAGTTTGTCACTGGCACGTCTAAGGTTCCACTCCAGGGATTTGCTGCGCTGGAGGGCATGAACGGCATCCAGAAGTTCCAGATCCATCGCGATGACCGATCAACTGACCGCCTGCCATCTGCTCACACCTGGTAAACGCATGTTAAACGGATAGATCTCTGAAGGGAACTGAACAGTGCTAATGTGACTGGGTATTTCTTTGTTTTCTAGCTTTAACCAGCTGGACCTACCAGCCTACGAGAGCTACGAGAAGCTGAGACATATGCTGCTGTTGGCCATTCAGGAATGTTCAGAGGGATTCGGACTGGCTTAAACACACAGACATGCATCCACATAAATAGTTTGGCATACTCCTGACACATTCACACTGGTAACCTCTGAACGCAAGCATACACACACACACACACACACACACGCTTTCATAGACATTACTGGATATCTTGTTGAATGGCCTAGTCTAGCTGGTTTCTATTCCATATAAAACAGATAAAACCAGCAGATGAAGTAAGACTGATTGATACTGCGTACAACACAGAGAGCCTCATTTCGACACCGTTGTGTGTCCTTTCCCAATTTATGGCAAATGCAAGTGAGGATTCATGGACTACTATAAGAGATGTTTTCTTCATTTAGTTTGGTTTCTCTGTACAAAAGGTTTGGGAGTTTATTATGTTCGATCTTTTTTGTTCTCTGGCTGTGTAAAAAGAAACAGAATGTTGTTTGAACAGGATGGTTATAAAACCTTTGGGGGAAAAAACACGTTGGTGGTTTCCTGTTGCAAATTTGTGACCTCACAAGCCTTGACAATGGGGCACATTTATATGGGGGGTAGACGAACAACTTGAGAGGTATTCACCAAAATGCACTTTTCAAGGTTTTGTGGCATTTTTAAGGAAGGATGGATCAACAAATGAAATGAAGAGAAAATCTGAAGTTGATTTAAAAGAAAAAAAGCATAACCATAAATTCTAGAGTATTTTTGGGTATTAAATTGCTGACCCAGCCTTGAGCCTTTGAATCCGAGTGGAAAACATGAATAAATGCATAAAATTTCATTTATTGTCTCTTAACAGTGTTTTAGCTATTCTTTGCAGTGAATGGATTTCATCAAAAGATGATGTTTGGCAGCTTTGTGGAATCAGCCTCCCGTGGATGATGCAGATCACAGGAATGAACCTGTCGTGTGTTTTATCTGATGTCTTCATGCACCCTCAGAAGCTGCTGGATGCCCTCCACTCTCACCTCGTGGTCCTCTCAAACATTATTAGGAAAATAATCTGCATTTCACAAAAAATAGCATACCAGCAGTCAAACATGGTAGTGCGATGCTCTGGGTGCATGGATGACTTGCTGCAAATGATAAATTATGAATTCTTCCTACCAAAAGATTCTGATGTAGACTGTTTGACCTTTGACCCCAAAAAAACTCAATGTGGCACATCCTTCCACAGCGATGTGTGTGACTCACCAGTGATCACAAACACATGATTACCTCTGCTTTCGCCGAGGATTTTTACAACCAACAAACTAATCACTAAACGGTAAAAGAGCAAAGCAGATGGAGCCTCAGTTCTCATCACCAAAGAAAACAAATGTTTGTTGTTGTTTTTTTACACAGTGAAAGACCCATAATTAGCTTATCTAACAAACCTTTTCTAACTGATCTTTTCTGTTTTTTACATGACTGAAGCTCATCACATCTGTCATGCACACAGGGGTGCACTGCACATTTATCATAAAGGCAACCAAAGACACTTTTATTTTGAAGTAACCGGTCAAACAGTAAAATAAATTGTATTTAAAATCTGCTTGTAGCAGGTAAAATGATCTGATCCCAGTAGAACGAAGCTCTTCGTCACGGTGAAGTGTGATGGGTTGATTTAACGTAACTCACCATTTTTAATCTTTAACCATTTGACTGGTTTGATGCATTCAGGTTCTCTCAGTAGACACGACACTGTGCCAGATTTACAATATGCTTTTCCATCTGTTGGAACAACAGGTGGTAGATTAGAACGTAAACCTGTTTTCTATAACTTCCTCTTTTATCCTTTCTCTGGGGCCTTCATTTGAATCTTCTCACTCTGCTCGGCTTGTCAGAACTCAACTAGCTGGATTTCTTCTGTTTTCACCCCAAACTTCCTGGGAATTGGATCCAATCACTGAGGTTCCCTTCCTCCGTTAACCCTTGCGTGCCTGCACCTGTCACTCCCTCTTTTCCTCTCGACAGTCCCCTGTGTGTTCACCTCCTTTCAGCTGCTCCTGCGTGCTGCATTTGCTCCGCTTGAGGAGCCCCAACAAGGGTGGAAATCGAATCTAACGCAGCCCCACCGATGTTTCCGTGCTGCCCCTTTGACCCTCCCCCACCCCCCTCACCTCCCATCTCCCAATGAAAACCGGCACACACCCGTGGCAGAATGAGGAGCATCCATGTCTGATTTGGTGCGTGCTGAGGCGTGATAAATGAAATTACGGTGCTGTCATGCAGGAATTCTTTTCGACCCCACAGTCAGACCTGATTTTTACACACCACCACCCAACCATGTATGTATGAAGCTCTCAGATTAGTGTTCTGCAAGCATCTGTTGCTGTCTTGATGTTTTGATTTGGAAAACAAACAAAAGATTTATTTTACATGCAGTTTGCCTGGAAAAGTATTTGATGAGCATTTCCCCACAAATGCAACAACATCTCTGGTATTCTTGTGGCAATTTTAACAGGAAAAGTTGTTCCCTGTCTGCATCAGCTGGCGATGGGCATGTCAACGCTGCAGCTAAATGAGGTGTTGCAATTCCACCTTCTGGGATCATTAGACTGCACAAAGTGAGTGCAAGTTGTTCCCACTCTGCGCCACTGAGTTTTGGTTTCCCGCACAGATACATGACTTGTATTTCTATTTCATGCTCTTGCTGCAAGCAGAGAAATTATTTCTGCTTTTTAGAGACGCTGATGTCTTAAGTATGGAAGCCCATTCCTGCTACTCAGATATTTCATAATAATGAGAGACTAAGTCACATTTATGAGATATTTTAATTTTTTTTTTCATGATTGGTGGGAATAGCCTTACATACTTTACACTGCATGTAGTACAAGTCTGAGAAAAATCTGAAAATAACACAGATTTAATTCATAAGAGTGTGTTTAATATTTAATATTCTGATTGTAGCCTTTCTTCTTCATCAGGAGGCAATGAAGTTAATAGTGACTACAATCTATATGAGCTAGAAAGGTCTCCAGCTTCTGCTTTCCTGCTGCTGCTTTCACTGGCAGTGGGATAAATCACAATCTCTGTGGCCATATTCAGAAATGGTTCATTAGAGGAACTAGTTCAACATTTGAAATGTACTAAATGTATGTACCCCCTGCAAGGGGAGACGTGCTGAATTTAAGACTTCACCTTGCAGCAGGAAACAAAAACTATTAAAACACACTTTGTTTTCTTTCCACTACTACGGTTTTTTAATGCAGCACATGCAAAGTTGAAGGAGAAGTCTGACTTATTGAGGTGGACAGGAGCGAAAACGAGTTTTGACAGCAGTGTGACAACTTGAGGAATGTGTTATGTGATGTTTTCAAACTGTCTGGTTTTGTCACCACCTCCTGATTTAGGCTGCCGTTTCTGCCGGCGTCAGTTCGATTACCCGACAATGAATCTTCCTCTCTCCAGCTTTGTTTGTGGTTTTATTCGAGCTGTGGGGTCAGAGTTGTGCTCAGGTGGGCGCTGTTCGCTCACCGCCCGCATTTAAACTAAAAGTGACATTCTGCCTACTGTAAAGGTCAGAGTCTTTTTAAAAAGCATGTACCTGCTGCTGTTTTGCCTCTGCAGCACCCTCCTCCCCTCCCAGCCTCTCCTTCACCTCCCCTCAGAGGCGCAGCAGGTGGGGGTGAGGGGGAGGCACCTTGTGGCATTTTGGAGAAGAGCCACTGCATGAAATGCAGCCGTGTCGCATCAGAGGTCAGACTCCGGTCAGCTTCTGGAGGTCATCGTTTAGAGAAGTAATATAGCCGAGCCACCGGGCGGAGGAGAGTTAATAAAGCAGGCAGCAATAACAGCAGAAGAGCTGCCGTCTGGAATAAGCAGCTGATTCATCTAGAGAAGGGAGAGCAGAGCACAAACACTTTGATATTTTCATTTCTGCAACAGCGTTTAAGAAAAGTAGCCAGACAACTGATCTTTTGTTGGTGTTTATATGAAAGCTTTTTGAGTGACATTGCAATAACATAACAGTGCATAAAGTTCTATTAAAACATTTGAATATCATCTTTTTGCCTCCCTGATGACACCCTCTCTGCCGCCCTCTCCTTTGTAGAAGCACCTCTTGTTCTGTAGAGGTCGACTCGTTGCGTTTCACATGCAGCTTGATGAGACGTGTTCTACTGTGTGAAGTGCTGCTGGTCCTACTTAGCAGTAGGGCCTCTCTGGGCACGGCAGCAAACTAAATCAGAGTCATTTCCCTTCAATTAGCAAGTGATTAACGCCAGGTCAGGAAAGGCCGGCTGACCTGCCCACGTAACGACGTTAAACCAGATCAATGGATCTCTGAACGTCCGCCTCATCAGCTGGTAATGTCCGAGACAAAGAGCCCGCACATCTGGGTTTGTCTGCAGAAAGGAACACCATCTCTTTACCTTTTATTTTTCTGGTTATCTCACTGGTGTTTAACATTTTAATGCAAATTAGTCTTAAAGAAACATTTAATTTGTTACAAACGAAAGCTGAAGTGGGATATAGGAACACCGTTATATTCACTGTAAATCTGAATGAGTGTTTTCTCTTGTGCTTTACCAGCTGTGACTTATTTATTTACCTTTAATATAGATTTTTGGACATGTTTGGAGGATAAACAGAAAGTAATAAATAAGAAGATGAGAGTTGAAGTTTCTCACTGGAATCTTTTATTCCAGCCACGGTTTATGACGCTCATGCTTGACTGGGAATCATTGAACGTAATTTCACTGATTTCCATTTAACCAAAAAGGAAAATTAGTTTTTTTCCTCATTGTCCATCAGTGTCTGGCTGGATTTGATCACTTTAGAGTCCGAACTACTGTCCCAGCCCCAGTGCAGATAGTTTATAGCCCTTTTTCTTTTATTTGCTGGACCAAACCTTCATAACGTTATCCTAACATGCCCGTGCAGCCCGGAGAGCATCCTAAATGTCAGTAGCTTTTAACTGCATGTTCCTCTGTAACACACCTTTGTTAATGCTTTTCCTTTGCCTCTGAACATTCACACCCTCTCTGCAGCCATTTGCTATATTGCCTCCTGTGTTTTAAGCTGATGGAATCGCCTTCGTCTCTGTAGTTTTTGCTGACTGCATCTGTTTTCCCTGCTGCTCCAGGCTTTGAGTTGTTCATTCACAAGCCTGCCTCCCCCTCCACCCCTCCTCATATATCATTCCATCTCTGTGGCCAGCCTGCCAGCTGACTCGTTTACAGTAAGCTGTGGAGGAAGGGAAGTGGATGGAGAGCGTTTGTGTGGCCAGGTGAGCTCCAGGCGGGGTAAAAGTCTCCTCAAAGCTCCAGGAGAAGTAAAAGTCTCTCAGTGAGGTGAAACCATCAAGACGTTCTCTCAACAGATCGATTTGGGTGTAGCTTCCTTTCCAGGATGCTAAATTCATTTTGCAGCCCTCTGAATATTTCAGGAGTCTGCATGTTGTAAAAGTTCGATCTGAGTGGATTAATCCCCATCAGCTCTTGTTCCCTGGACGGTTGTGATTATGATGCAAGATTGTAGTAAAAATCAAATTTCATTTCCACAGATTTGACTCTGTCCTCCAGCTCTTGAGTCTCTGTAGCGGAGGGTCTTACCTGACTGGAGAAGCCATCATTATTCCCACACTGGCGGCTTTTGTCCGGATGCCTGGCGGATCCTTGAGCACCAGAGTGCAGATGGGCACACTGGCACCCCCAGGCTAGAGACACAAAGAGAAATGAAACGACAGCTCAATGGGGACGGGGTGGGGGTGTTTCTGACTGGACCGGTGCTGCCCCAGTTTCCTGAGTTTTATTTTTAGGAACAAAAGTGGACTGAGTATGGAATCGTGCTGCTCCTTCTATTCCAGGAGCAAGAATCAAGTTCATTATGTTTGTGTGTTATGGTGGAGTTGTTGGCAGCAAAATGTCAAAACTTGTCTTTGTTTTTACAATAATAAAGGGAGATGTCAATAGGCATGAAATATATCATTCTAAACAAAATGTAAATAAATATAACAATCTGATTAAGTATCAATACTCAGATCACTGAGGCTTATTTCTGAATATCTATCTATCTATCTATCTATCTATCTATCTATCTATCTATCTATCTATCTATCTATCTATCTATCATCTATCTATCTATCTATCTATCTATCTATCTATCTATCTATCTATCTATCTATCTATCTATCTATCTATCTATCTATCTATCTATCTATCTATCTATCTATCTATCTACGTATCTATCTATCTATCTATCTATCTATCTATCTATCTATCTATCTATCTATCTATCTATCTATCTATCTATCTATCTGTTTTTTCTTCGTAAGTTTATATCAAGGAGGTAAACTCCTTCCATCCAGAGACAGCTCCTCCTTAAGATCCCCAAGGCATTGCCAGACCAAAGAGGACGTTCATTTCCTTTCAGTGGGTTCTGGATCTCCTCCCAGTGGAATATACAGGAGCTCCTGAGGAGGGGTCCTGATGAAATACCCGAGCCACCTCAACTGGCTCCTGTTGTTGTGTAAGAGCAGCAGCTCTTCTCAAAGCTTACTTGGATTATGGAGCTCATCTCATCCTATTTCTAATGATGATTCCAGCCAGCCTAGGAAAAATCAAGGACGCTCATTTTAGTCGATTGTTTCCAGGAGTTTGTTCCTTACCCATAATTTTAATCTCATGACCACAGGTATGGATACATGTTAGATATTTTTATATCCTGAAATGAACCAAACAGGAGAGAAGTCAGTAGGTTTTATACGCTGCGAGAGGCAGCGGAGAGCAACCGGTCAAAAGCCTGCAAAGGCCCATGTCCGATCAACTCTGGTGTGTTCTCTCTCTCCAGCTGGTTTTATTGAAACACGGGCAAATAAGGACAAAGAACAATCCATCACTGTCCACACTTAACCAATAACACTGTTGCTTCTATCTAAGGCGGGACCTTCTAAAAAGGAAGTCTCAAGTTACAGGGGTGGCTGCTAGCTTTTCTGTTGCCAAGCAGAGCATTCCCAACTCCCCACAGATAAACATCAGGCTGCATTCCAAAGCCCTGTGGCTTACTTCACAATCATAAGATCAACATATGATCACTTAAAAAGGAACATTTAAGAGAGTAATACATTAAAACTCTTAACAATACAGGTGGACAATTTTTTTCAAAGTGTCATCTTTCGTCTGAGCTCCTTTTGTCACCTCAACAGAACAGAGGAGCACCACCACCACAGCAGACCAAGCTCTAATCCATCAGTTCATCTCTAGCTCCGTCCTACCATCATGAACAAGACAACCAACTTAACCTGCTTGTCACTTACTCATCAACAAGTGCCTGGAGGTGGAGCCTTGGCTTCTGAGGTTCTGCTGGACTCAGCCCATGTGAGCCCACCACCTGCAGGGGGAGACTTCAAGGTCAGGATGAACGGAAGCAGGTGGCAGATGGAGGATGAAACCAAGGCGTGCTGATTCCTGGCATCGCCACTTACAAAACCATACAGTGCAATAGCCTAAAGGATACCAGCACAATATAATACAATGTTTACTCATAACCACATCATTAACTAAAGACGTTTATGTGGAGATGAACCCATGATCACAAACACCCCTGGATGTGCCGTACTGGTGCAGCTCCTACAATCCCTAACCCCCTCGTGATGATTCTTGTATCTTTTTCTTATTTCTCCAATAAACCACTTCTGTATCTTAATCCAACCAAGTCAATAGAAAACCATTTTTATTTTTCATTCTACGTAGAAATTTCCTCCTTGTGTCTGTAAACACGCTTCAAAGGCAGCTGCGTGCTTCTGTTAGCGTCGCCTTCATTTCACCATATTTATTCATATTTGCTGTGGAGCTGCAGACTCTTAAATAAATACGAGAAATAGCTACTGTAGTAAAAAAATCATCTTAGAACAGCGAGGGGGAAACTGTTCAGCAGGCTGCAGGCAACAAATGAAAAACATCAGGTAGTTCTGGGCTGAAGAGGTGTGAAATCGAGCGGGGTAATTGTTTACAGGATCTTTGTGGACATGAATAAGAGCTGGAACCAGCTCACCTCTCCACACTCAGATAAGAGGGGACGGCATTTCCTAATGCATTTTATTCACCAGCGTTATGTAACATCCATCATACCTGTGATCAGACAATGAGCTGAAGCCCCATCCAGCAAATTAAAAGTTGGGCCTGGTAGCACGTAGAGACACACACAGTCATCATTTTACCGTTTTTTAGTGTATTAGCTCCTGGAATGGAGCAGAGAACATAGGAAGTGTGAATTATCATACCTGGCTCTGCCTGGTGTGTGTGAGGAGCCAAAAAATGGGAGCAGATGAGCCCAGTGATCCTGAAGAAAGAGATGGATGGAGGACGAAAGGGGAGCACAATAAAGGAATGGGCCACAGAGAGTGAGGTGAAGAGAGAGTAAGGGAGGGTACAGAGGAGGAGGAGGCAGGGAGGCAGAGAAGAAGGGTGATGTCACCCCCAACAGGCAGCCAATGAGAGTCAAGGAAGGAGGGAGAGAGCGCGGCCGGAGGAGGGTGTGTTTTTCTATCACTGCAGCATCAGCAGAGAGGAGAGGGGCACAATCAATTTCATAGAGAGGAGGAAGAAAAGACACAAGTAGATAAGGAAGAGGGCAAGAAAAAGGAACCTGAGGAGTTTCCAGAGGAAGAACACCTCTCTGTGAAGGTATGGGGCTCATTTTTTGTTTCTCTGATGATGAGGAGGGTCGTTAAATGGAAACAGAAACGCTGTGAGCTGAGGTGGAGGTGGCTGCTTCTGGCGTCTCACCTTTACTTCATCAACATCAAGATAAAAACAACTTCCTGCTTTATTGAAAACACGTTAACAACCTCTTTATTACATCTGTTTATGTTGCTGCTATCTCATCACTAGAAAAATATTATAATTATTACATCACTCTTGATAATTATAATAATAAAAATGTAAATGTGAATGTTCAAATGCATCAACTATAACGCTAAATTGATTATTGTGATATCAAACTGTAGATTTACTTTAAGGGAAACTGTTTGCATTCATGATTGTTTTAAATCTGCATTCAGAGCACCGCATGCAACAGGGTCTCCTCCGACATTAATATTAAACAAACGGCTGAGCTGGAATAGGTTGTATCACCTCATGAAACCATTTAATTATCATCCTTTTATTACTTTATTATTCTGTTCTGTTTGATTTCTAATTAAAACTAAAGTTAGGATGACAGATGAATAAAAACTAGGTGTGACGTGAAATCATGATGCATTTTCAAGTTTTTATTTTACTTTTTAAAGATGTTTTCTGCATTTCTTTTTGCAAGCTGGAAACATCCATTGAATTCTGCTTTTCATGCCTTCTTGTGCTTGCTTTCTTTTGATAAGAATCTTAATTTTTTCTTCTCCCCTCCCCCAGCTGCAAGCTGAGAGGGTTAATGTTAAGTACAGCCCATGATTGCGATGTGCAACGAGGACTTTCATTGATGCAGAACACGAAACTCAGATAGCAGCCCAGACGACAACAGTTTCTAACAGTTCCTAATCTCCTGCAGCTGCAGCGGGTCAGTTTTTGGAGCAAACATGGAACAAACAATGACATAAAAAAGAAAAGAGGGAAGAATTGATGAGGATATCAACAGGAGACAGACAGAGAGAGAGCTTTTCTTTCTGAGGGAGATATCAGAGGGAAAACAGGGTGGGGCAGCGCCTACAGCAGACTGGAGGTGTTCCAGAGAAAAGCAGCCGCTCACCTGCTGTATGCAACACAGATGCCTGCTTTTAGACCTTCCTTTCCATTCCCATTGGATGGGATTTCTCCACTATTCTGGTTAATGATCTAAAATCCTGCATAGCCAGAAGGAGCTCCTCAAACCTCGGACCATGACCATGTTATTGAACGTTTTGTGTTTTATGGACGAGCAGAAATGACTCTGATATGAGAGTCCTTAGCTGAAAGAGTCAGGAGAGCTGATGCCGGTTTTAGGAAGTGGTGAGCCTGCTCTGAGTTCCTGTCCCATCTGTGCAACATCCATAACCACGCTGCACACAATAGACCAAGATGCAGCTGCTGTGTTTATGGATCCTCTGTGTGGCAGCGATGCTCCCGGGACCCACTTCTGGTCACATTATCATACTATTTAATGCTGACAGGTTTGTGTGGCAGCAGCAGGGTCTGGGTGGCTGTCATGGGAGCTGCTGCTGCAGTGATTCTGTTGTCAGAGCAGCAAGACGTGGAGTCTATGATTACCCTCGCTACAGCACGGTGCAGAACGCAATTTTCCTCTGACGCTGACCATTTAATTGAGCCGTTCTGTCAAAGAGATGGATGAGAACGGGGATTTTTGTGAGGAGAGAAGGACAGAGAGATGGGGATCAGCAACAAACAGACAGGGGAGATTGCTGTAAGCTGTGCATAAAACCATGAAGCTGGGCCAGTGTGGACTTTCTGGTAAAAGCAAAGAAATTAGCATTTTTTAAAATGTCAATCACTTTAAATAAGCATTGACAGGAACAGGTGGGGGGAATTAGGATGGTCACAAGGGGAAAGCACCATGTTAATGGGGGAGGAGATATTCCTAAAAAGGTTCACTCTATTGACAGATTACAAGTCTGATCAGGTATGTTTCTGCTGCAGAGCTCACCTGAGCAGGCGTTGTGTAGGTGGAGGCGTAGTTGCAGGGATCGGGCCTGCTCTGTTGCTCCACAGACACCTGTTATAGCCACAAGGCATCAGCGCCAGTCCCGTCAAACAAACACAAAAGCATCTGTAGCAGGCCTTGTCTGCAACCCAAACAAACGCTCTGCAGATATCCTGTTGCAGTGCACCAAATTAACGATTCTTCAACGTCGGCTCACCGCTCTGATTACTTAAACGTCCACTCCTGATCAGAAACCACACTCAGCACTTTCTGCTGTTTCATCCATTAGGAGCAGAAGCAGCAGCTGGGTAGGATACGGGTTAAGAGGGAAAAGCGTCGCTCTGACTGAAGTGTCAACAATGATACTTTCATGTCTGCTTCCCTTTTAATTTCCCTTTGAGTAGGATAGTAGTTACAAACTCACAGGCACTGATTCAAAGACTCACGAGGGAACTCCCCAGAGTTTTTCTCCTGCTTGTGTGCCTTTTTGAAGCCATGCACGTGTGTGTGTGTGTGTGTGTGTGTGTGTGTGTGTGTGTGTGTGTGTGTGTGTGTGTGTGTGTGTGTGCGTGCGTGCATTTAGAATCCCTTTCACATTCAGGAGGCTGTCAGGATGGAGATTCCCCTCCCTCCACCAGCTCATCAGGCTGGAGCTTGGCTGTTTGATTTGGGCTGTGCAGATGGGAGTCGGCCCAGGGGGTGTCAAGTAGGGGATCTTGTAGACACGCTGTCAGAGTTTGTTGGAAACACATTCTGGTGATTTAGGAGAGCTAAGGGTCAGACAGATTGACAGGCAAGCCATGGGTACGTGATTACAGAGAATAGGAGAAGAGGGAAGGAAGCCAGTGGGAGGGGAGATTAAAATTTGCAAAGGTGAGCTGAGGCAGCGTGGAAGACATCCAGCATGAAGCTGGTCGGTTTTAGATGACATGCAGCGACAGCATGAAGCCTTTTTCCTTGTTAGATACCCAGATCAAACCTTTCAACCTTAAAGATGCCATTTCCCTTCATGCATTTACCTTCTTCCCAAATTCCTCATGTCACAAAGTTGTTTAATTCAACAATTCTTATCAGTATTCATGCAGGAGGCGCAAAAAGGAGGGCTTAATCAAAATAATGGCTTATATTAGCCTTCCCAGAAAGAGGGTTGCAGACAAAGACTCATAAATTCAACCCTATTAGACAATTGAACCTGAGATGTGGATTGGTGCTCAAACACAGGCTCCACGTATGGAAATGAATTTAATTTGGCAGAGTGAATTACCCCATTACAGCTTCCAGAGTGATGGAATGAGAGGCAGAGAAGTGCTGATTTCCTGAGATTTTGATGGCTAAAATGAAAAAACAGCACCACAGCAGAGAAATCCATTAAGATTTTAATTAGAAATTATATTAGAAAGGGATACTAAATAAAAACAACTATTCTTTGTGCCGTTAGCATCACTGCAAAACAACAACAAACAGCAGAAACCAACGTAACAATAAAGCTACACACAGCATAAATGACGGGGGTTATGAGATTTCATATCAGTCCTTCTGTTTGACCTTTGACCATCTTGTCATGTCGACGGACGTTGACAAAACTCCATCTTTGTTTCAGTAACAGAGAATTCCCCACAGCGTCAGCTCCATAAAGAGCCTCCATTGTCCCCAACAGGAACTATAATTAGAACACACAGCCTCCATGTCTCCCAAATGACTACAACGTCTTGTGTAGACGCTCAAAGATCCTCCTCTGCGTACTTGTGTCAGTACATGAATCCTAGTTTTATAGCATCCATGAGATGGATGAATTAAATAGGCAAAGTGTGATGTAATTGCGTTTCATCTGTAAAAGCTTTTGTCTGGTTGTGGAATATTGCTCATCAACATTAGTTAAATAGTATTATGGTTTTGGTTTTACAGATTATTTTCTTTTAAAAGCTTTACGGTCCGTAACAGGAAGCTAAAATGATCATTAAAGTGGATGACTCTGTCTTCAGGCTGTTTGGGTCAGAGCTCTGGTTTTAATCAGGTGATTCTGTAGCAGGTGTTTAGTGTAAAGTTGGTCTTTATGGGTCTGATTTGTACCCAAATAGCCAGTGGTGCCCCCAAAGTGTGGACAGGGTTGCCCCCACCCCCAGATAATAAATCCCATTCCTTGTCACACAAAACATATATTCATCTTCTTCAATGAAGACATAAATGTTAAAGCCAATAATATGCATTTTAATGAATAATTCATTTAATAAATTATTCAAATTGGTCACTGAGGTTCACACCTAACCCTAACCCTTTACCAAAAAACTCTAACTTCCCTCTGGGATTAATAAAGTATCTTTGAATTGAAAAGAATAAATCCCTATGGATTTTTAAATATCTTTATTGAGACAACAGGTGTCCTTTTAAAACCGTTTGAAAATGTTTGAAACAATAACTGTCTTTATTCTGAGGTAGTGTTGTTGAGGTAAATGCATTGGATTTGTTTATTTTTTTGAGGAAAATGAATGACAGGACTCTCCCAGAGTGGTCACAGGGACCAGTTTAGTGTGCCGCCCTAAAAATCTTCACTGGCCCCCCTATAAAGATGTTCTGGGGGCGCCCTGAAACTAGCACCTGTATTTGGAAGGATTTTAAAGCTAGAAGTCTAAATTCACTGTAATTTAATCTTGTTTTTCTAACAACGTTGACAATGTCCCTGACCACATTTCGACTCCACTGTGTGTGTGTGTGTGTGTGTGTGTGTGTTTCATAGGGTCTTCCATTAAACACCCATTGCAGCATTTGTTTACTAATTTATTGATTTTTTTTTTGCTGAGAGACCAGCTGCATTTTAATGAAACTTTGTGGGGGTGCATGTGTGTGTGTGCGTGTGTGTGTGTGTGTGTGTGTGTGTGGGGGGGGGGGTCTATCTCAGCGCTGCAGCTCTGGTTCTTTATGTTTTACAGAACTGTTGAGGTTTTGAAAGGGTTTTAGGTTTATTGTAATGTATTATTAGTACGTAGCTCATGTTTTCTTGTCTGTTCCCACTTTAGAAAACGTAAATGTTTCTCGTGTCCATGGGAGGGCTCATATC